TACGGACACTATTATTCTAAAGCCTATTATAAATTAGCTAAAAAAAAATTAATAAATTAATATCTTAGTAAGCAGTAAAAATAAAAAGAATTTATTTTATTATTATATATTAAAAGTGTAGTAAATAGAAGACTAAAGCTATAAAGTAAAGTAGCTATATATATGCCTTAAAAGCAGGTAATTCCTTAGTAAAAAATTAATATTTAGTATTATAAAAAAAAAAAAAAAATAAGTTGTAAAGCTTTAAAGCTATTTGCAAATTGTAAAAGCAATATTAAAATAAAATAAATAATATAATACTGCAACGCGAAATAGAATTATAAAACTAATTCTAGCTATATAATATTAATATTGCTACTTATAGTAATAGCAGAACAAAAAGCTTGCAATTACTATAGAAAAATAATAATATATAGTTTAAAACTATATTTAGCAACTATTTTAACTTATTTTAAAAAAATTAATATAATTATAAATATTTCTGCACTTAAAGTAGTTTTATAAAAACTAGCAATAGCTTAACTAAGTATAGGCGCTTTAAAAAAATTTTTAACTAGTTTAAGCAGCTAACTTGCCTGCATAAAATATTAAAACTTTAAAAATTTATTTTAATAGTTTTTAAAACTGCGCGTAGTCTATATTACTAGTATTAAAAGCTATTTAATATAATAGTATACTATTTAATATAATAGCGCGTAGTGCTTAATACTGCGTATAGTTTATACTACTAGTATTAGAAATTATTTAATATAATAGCGCGTAGTGCCTAATACTATATATAATTTATACTACTAATATTAGAAACTATTTAGTATAATAGCGCGTAGTACTTAATACTATATATAGTTTATATTACTAGTATTAAAAACTATTTAGTATAATAATAGATAGTACCTAACACTATGCGTAGTTTATATTACTAGTATTAGAAACTATTTAGTATAGTAATGCGTAGTGCCTAATATTGCGCATAATTTATACTGCTAGTATTAAAAGCTATTTAGTATAGTAATATACTATTTAGTATAGTAGCGTGTAGTGCTTAATACTGCGCGTAATTTATACTATTAGTATTAGAAACTATTTAGTATAGTAGTACGCAGTGCCTAATACTGCGTATAGTTTATATTACTAGTATTAAAAATTATTTAGTATAATAATATATTATTTAGTATAATAGCGTATAGTGCCTAATACTGCGCGTAATTTATACTACTAGTATTAGAAATTATTTAGTATAATAATGCGTAGTGCTTAATACTATATATAATTTATATTGCTAGTATTAAGGGCTATTTAATATAATAGCATACTATTTAGTATAGTAGCGTATAGTGCCTAATACTGCGCATAGTTTATACTGCTAATATTAAAAGCTATTTAATATAGTAGTGTGCAAAAATTAAAGCTATAGTTAGCTTGTGCTGCTAGTATTAGGGCCTGCAGAAGTCCCTAATAATATAATACTTCCTAAAGTTAGGACTAGCAGCTTAAAAAAATGCTACTTAATTTCCTACTAATATACAGGAGCTATACTAGAGATTTAATAATAATAGAAGTATTACAGGTTCTAAAAGAAATAAATACAATATAAAAACTCTTTGCTATTATATATAATAATGCAAGTAATAATAGCATAATAGCTTAAAGTATTTAGTAAAAATTATTAAAAAAAAACGTTACTTAAAACGCTTAGGAAAATATAATTCCCTATTTTATATATATTATTAATTTTGTAATTTAAAATATTATTTACTACTTTAAGCTATTAGCTACTATAGAAGTTAAGAATAGTAAAACGCTATAATAGTAATATATAAATAAAATCTAAATACAAATATCTATTTTTAACTTGCTTTGTAAAATATATTATTTATTATTATATATATTTATTATGTACTAAATAGTTGGAAGCTCTAGGCTATTTGTATTACAATTAATTAATTACTATAGCATTTTAAGTATTTTATTGTAATTTAGCGCAATATATTAGCAAGAAAACATTTTTCTATAATACAAAATATTAAAATAAGATAGAATTCTATATATAATATATATAAGTATACTATAAAGCTTTAATCCTATATTAATAAATAGCTAGAATAAAAAATTGCACTAAAAGCAATTAGCAGCGCAAATAGCTTTTCTGCTTATAATAATACTATAAAAGCAAACTTTAAAAATTTTAAGAAATTTTAACTAGCAGCTATTTCTATAAATGAAAGTAAAGTCGACGCAAAAGCGGATTATATAACGCAGTAAAAGAAATTAGTATAAAACTATAGTTTAGGTGCTATACCTAGCACCTTAATACAGTATTAAGGCAGTAAAGTTTACACAATACTAGGCTAGCTGAATAAATTATTAAAACTAATAATTACTATTAGCAGACCTAATACGTTATTATTTAAAAATTGTAGCAACATAACTATTAACTCTTAACAGTAACTAACTTGTTCGGGCAATGCTAGAACTGCGTAATTATATTAAATTTATTTTAAAAGCTTATAGTATATAAAATATTATTATTATAATTATTTATTACAGCCGCACGCTAATTACGCGTATAAAAAAAATTATAAAATACTTAAAATAAGCATATATACTATTAGCAGTTTTTAGACTATTTTAACTATTATAATAATACTAAAGCTAAAGTTTTTACCTTAGCTTTAAGTAGTTATTTAAAATAATTAGTAAATAGTAAATAGTTTTAAAAACTTTTTTCTTTATTTATTTTACAGTTTAGTACACTTTCTATTTCTAGCTAGAATTTAGTTATTATAAAAATTAATAATAATATAGGCTTAATACGCTAAAAAAGAAAATCCTACTTAAGTATTTTTAAAATTATATTAAGTAATAATTTTAATGTGCTAGGGTAGTAAAAAAATAATAAATTAACCTACTTTTAACTTGCTTAAGTTGCAAAAAATATTTTAGTAGTACTAATTATATAAGTAAGTATTAAACGCGTTTTTAATATTAGTAAAAATATAATTAAAAATTAAAAGCATAACTTTTCTGTGCAAACAATTTAATAAACTATAATTTTTTAATATTAAATATTAAAAAAATAGTTTATTATATTATTTAATTTTTTTATAAATAATTAGCTAGCGCTGTATAATAAGATAAACAATTTGTTTAAATTGCTAATTAGTATTAAAAAATTAAGTAAGACTAGTATTAGGCAGTTAAGTAAAATAGATAATAATTTAAATAATAATATAATAGATAATTAGCTAATAATTTCTTTGCGTTAAAAATAATAGCTGCAAAAAAAAATAAAACTTCTGCACTATTATAATAATATACTATAATAAATTTGTGTAATAAACTATAAAGTTACGCAAATAATAATTATTTTTTACTTATATATATATTTTGTGCGTGCAAAATATTAAATAGTAATAAATACTATTTATATTATATATTCTTAAACTAGTTTAGTAGAAATATAACTTTATAAATTATATAAACTAAATTTTAACTTAAGCTTTTACTACTCTAATCTACTTTTAATTTAAAGTTTATGCGCTTATAACTAAATTTTAATTTAAAATTCTTAGTATTTTTACTAATTTTTAATTTAAAGTTTGTGCAACTATAATTAAATATATACTTAGTAGTAGGTACCTTAAACCTATTTACTAGTCTAGTTAAAATAAAAATATTGTGCTTGTTCTATAGCCTAACTCTAATTTAGAGGACCCCTTAGCTAGTTACTAAAGTGTAGAGAAATAGCTATTAGTATAGTTTTTTACTATACTATTAGTATTGCTATATTTACTGCAGTGCAGTATTTTAGTATAATATTCTAGAATTTTTAGCAAAAGTTAACAGGCTAACAAAGTGTAGTTTAAATACTTATATCTAATAATAGGGGCATAACAATTGCATAACTGAATTTAGGCACTAGCTATATATTAAATTTTATTTAGCAACTAATTGCGCTTATATACGGCCGACGCAGCATCTATATTTTTTTTATAGTTTTTGTATATTTAACTAGTTCTATAAACTACTTACTTAAAAAATGCAGGCAAATAAATAGTACGCCTATTGTATTATTCTTAGTATTATAGCTGCGCTGCTTGAGTTACTCCTAGTAGTCTTAGTTCCTAATTTGTTTTTCGCACACAATTGCGAGGTATATATAAGTATCTACGCCTTTTTACTCTTTAGAGGGAATTTGTTCGCACCTATTATAGCAGGGTAGATTAATATTAGCAGTAGCTAGAGGTAGATTATGTACTTTAGTGCAATTATTTATACCGCAACTACTATTATCTACTTTTGGATAGAAGAAACTATATATTTCCAGTTAACAGTTAAAGGCGAGGAAGATTTAGTGCAACTGACACTAGATAGCAAGTCTACACTAGCCGGCATACTGCCAAATGACCCGGAGAAAGGTGTAGAAAAGGTTGCAGAAACGTCAATTGCACACAATCCGGCCCCGATGGTGGGGCAAGTATACACGCCGTCGAAGTCCACCTGGAAAAAGTGAGCCCTCTTCATTGATATGTCATGAAGGCCTTCAAACAAAGCAATGCTCACGATGATGTGGCGTCCCTGCCCTTAATGTGGCATTTCCCAAGCGTGTCGTGACTGGCTTGTGAGTTCCACGGGCGCAGAAGGGTTCCTCGCATGGTAATGAATTCAGCGTATACGCGACATGTTTGATTGGCACAATGTCCTCAGTGCCACGACTCCGTCAATCTTCAGCGCAGTCCCATACAGCCTTTCGTCTGGCCTGGTCGGGATCGCGTACACCCCCCCTCTTATTGCTGCAGCACTAGGCCCTGTGTGGAGCGATTGGTTGACAGATAAGCTGGCGCTGTTGGCACGCCCGACGAAACAAGGGGATTCGTGAACTGGAACATCGCGTCTGGGTCCTGCTTCTCTCTGGCCTTCTCTGCTACGGCGGTTTGATCCTTCGGGGCGTCGGCTCAGCCCAGGACGTACATTGGTCCGGGACTATCATCGGGCTAGGCATGTTGGCATTCAGCGTCATCTGTGGTGGTTCCATTACGCTTAGTTTCGCCGTTAACAGCTTCAAGGTACTTCGCGCTTTGCTAATGCTTGCTCCAGCCGCTAACGGGCGAGTGGGAAATCACAGGCGAGACAATGCCCTCTGTAATCGGCATGAGCAATACACTGGATTTTGCCGTCTCGTACGCTATCAACCCCTCTATCGACGCCATGAATGTCCAGAACTGTTTTATCACGGTCGCGATGGTAGCCTTGCTGTGCACCTTCACGTTCCTCCCTGTGGTTTTCTTTGGCAAGCGGTTGAGGAAGCACTCGGCTCCAAAGTACTGGGAGTACATAGTAACACGTGCGGCTAGGGGTCATTAGCATGTCTGTATAGCGTGACTAAGTAATCTACGTAGAATGATGTATCTATTCGTGCCATGTTGTCTTTAATCGCAGCCTAAATGTGGCGAAGCGGGGCATCGTCAGAACGGAACCGAGGCGCGGTGCCTTCGGCTGTCCGACGCGCCCAAACAAACACTCCGGCCCTCCGACTTTGCAATGCAAGGCGCGCAACGACAACTACCTCGGTCATATAAGGTGGCATGGCCACGGCTCTTAGCTGTTAATCCATTACCTTTTCACTGTTGTTACCTACCATAGTAGACACATGGCAGGTGAACTTACTCGTTATGTTCAGCAGATGTTCACGTCCATCCTTTCTCTTGGATCGGGTTTGAGGGCTCACCTTCTTCGACTATTCAGCCTGACGGCAAGTAATCCAATCAGCACTCCAACAACTCTGAGAGGTGAAGCAAAGTGCCGTTTTCGTCTAGATACTGATAGCTCGGACACCTTCACGCTCCTAGATGGACGCAAACTAGGTTATGCACAGTATGGCTCGCTAACAGGACGGCCTATCCTCTACCTCCATGGTCTGCCAGGCTCTCGGCTGGAGGCAGCTACCTATCACGACTTGGGCCTAGAGTTGGGCGCCCGTATCGTTGCAACGGATAGACCTGGGATAGGCTGGAGCTCGCCGCATCCTGGCCAGACACTCTTGGATCTCCCAAAGGATCTGGAGGAGCTTGCGAAGCATCTGGCGTTGAGTGACTATGCTATAATGGTACGAGTAACGTATTCGCTTAGTTTACCATTGCTAACTATGCGCGCTGAACAGGGAGTTTCAGGTGGTGGACCACACGCACTTGCTTGCGCAGCGTCAATGTCCGAACAGCTCAAATGTGTCTCCATCATCTGCGGCTTGGGACCACCTGACATTGGCATGAGCGGGGCGGGTTGGGAAAGCTGGCTCGGCTTCACGATCGGATGGCGCTACAGCCCAGCCATTCTTCTACGCTGGTTCTTCAATCGCCATCTCTTAGCGGGCCGCTTGGACTTGACTGATGAGAGACGATTAAAGATTCTACAATCACCTTCAACACTTTCTACTATAACGAATGAGAAGGACCGTGAGCTTTTCAAGGATGAAGACCTCATGCGATTGTGGCTCCGATCGAACCGGGAGTCTCAGGCGCAGGGATTCGATGGCGTGTACAAGGATGGCAGACTCATGTGCAGCATCTGGAATTTTGGAATAGAGGACATACGTCCTAATCTACCCGTGCGGCTGTGGTACGGAAAGCATGATACCTCCGTCCCACCCAATCACGGAGTGCAGATTGCTGCGCGGCTGGGCGGAGGCGAGAGAGTGCATTTGAGAGTTGAGGACGATACCCACGCAAGCATCTCGATATACCGGAAGCGAGAACAGCTAGAGGAGATTCTCCGAATTGTAGAAAGAAGCTCGTAAACCCTCGGTCCTATGGTTAGAATTTAGGATTTGGTGTATAGGGTACTGTACTCTTTTAAACATAAGACAAGAGCTCCTTGCTAGTTTTCGTGACACTTCCCACCCGCATGAACATAGTCTGCTGATCGACTCAATTGAACGCATGCGATAGCGATTATGCACACTCTCTAGGCAACCTTCATCAGATTCCACAAAGTTTCAGCCTCGCATGCCCCACGGCACGGCGCCATCTCTGAGACCAAGAGCTCCTTCTTAGGCGGTGCCTTCTACCCCGCAGACCTACGAGGCAGCCTACACTGATTGATCAATCCTGTATTACTGCTCAGCCTATTCCAAGCGAAAGCGGGGCCTCTAGAAGTACTTATAAGGTCTTGCCCTGTTGCCTCTCCCCACCACAGCCTTCCGCGCACCTTGCTTGCACGCTGAACACTCGCCCGGAATAATTTACCTCACAATCTCGCGATACAAAATACAGCACTACATACTCAATCATCTCATAGACATGTCTCAGTCTTCTTTGTACACTACATTACCATCTACAAAATCCATCAGGCTATTACGACTGCATCCCGGGGCAGAAGATGAAACAGTATCCTGTTCACTGGAGTTAATTGAGGACTTTCGATCTTCGCCTCAATACCATGCCCTCAGCTATTGTTGGGGTGATGAAAATGACCTTACTGAACTGTCATGCAACGGTGAGGCGTCCGCAGTCATCAACAATCTGTACGCTGCTCTGCATCGCCTCCGTCAAAGAAAACAATCCACTCTCGTCTGGGCCGACGCGATCTGCATCAATCAAGAAAGCATCTTCGAACGTAATCAGCAAGTATCGATTATGAATAAGATCTATTTCCACGCTTCTCGCGCTTCGTATGGATTGGTCCCGGCAATGCGGAGTCGGGGAAAACCGTCGCGATGATTAGGAAAATCGCGCGTCACATTTACAGTAACTGCAATTCTGGTTGCTCATTTTCCTCCTGGTTATCGACGTTGTCTGCTGTCAAAGACAAAGGGAGAGTTATCACCGAGGCTTACCCCATCAAAGCCACTGATTTCACCCACGCAGAATGGCAGTCATTCTATGATTTCTACCAAGCCGATTGGTTCTTTAGAGTCTGGGTTGTTCAAGAAGTTCTACAAATCTCGGACGTCTGCCTGCTTTGTAGCAAGTTCGAAATTGAATGGAACTTCATAGCCCTGTCCGCATCGTGGGCCTGGCTTGGAGCAATACAAGATTACTCCACACACTTCAAGAAAGAGTATTTTCCGTCTTACAATGGTTTCATCAATGCGAACTTCATGTGGGATCAAACACTTGCCACGCGAAGACAGGCCCCTTTCTTGGCTCTTCTTCACCTATCCAGGCCCTTTCAGTCCACGGATCCGCGAGATAAGGTTTTTGCCATGCTCCATCATTGCATAAATCAGAATGTTATTAGTGAGCGTGGACAACTCATTGAGACACGACTTTATCCATCTTGTTCACCAAATGTAAGTACTTACAGAACTCCAGGCTGATAGATAACGAGTCAAACCTTAGAGCTCATGACTGACCCAAGTATTAGATACTGGACACCCATCTTGGTATTCAACCAGACTATGACACAAGTCCGTATGGTTTGTACCGTGCGTTGGCTCTGCAATCTCTCCAGCAGTACCATACTCTAGAAGTGCTGTGCTACGCTTGGCAAACCGCTCACTATAGTAGCTCTTGGCCATCGTGGATCCCAAGATGGGATGTTCCTAACAGCCATGCAAAGTCGTTCCTCTTGCCTTTCCTGTACGATGCAGCCGGAGGATCCAGCCCCGTATATCAATTAAATCCTAACTCCGACTCTCTTTCATTGCAAGGACTCAACCTTGGCTCCCTGGTAAAAATGACATAGGCGTTTGATTATCAGACAATGAAAGTTCATGTAGCACGAAACTACAGTAGCGCAGCTGAAAGGAGCTTAGTTGAAGTTTTGAGACTCATCACGCAGGATCGCTGGCAGCCTGACCTGTCTAGCGAGATCACCGCGATACGTTCCCAGCAAAACTTGCGGGCGCAATTTGCGGACTTCGCATCATATGTTCTGCGTCTTATCCAAAATCGCAACGAGGGTAGCTACGAGGGTAGCTACGTTTCCCTTTGGTCTCTCTGGTGCAGTCACTGCAAAGCGTATATCAGCGCCGCAGGCGGCGCAGTCTGGTCCACGCCATTCAGCAGTTATTACTGCGATGTTTGTCTTGATGGCGATTTGGACGTCTGCACTACTTGCTACCACAAAGGAAAACGTTGCGACGATGCAACTCATACGTTACAAAAGCTAGGCTCGACAAGTCTATGGTTTCCTGCCACACATGAGGTTGTCAAAATCTTTAAAGCTCATGCGGCTGGTGGACAACATGACCGATTCACCCGGCTCCTCGCTCAAACCATTACACGTAGGGCGTTCTTCAAGACCTCCCTTGGATGGCACGGAACCGCATCGATGGCTATGAAAACTGGAGACATTGCCGTTGTCCTATTTGGCTCTCGGATACCTTTTGTACTGAGGAAGGATGGCTCAATGTATCGCCTAGTAAGCGATTGCTATGTCCAAGGCTTAATGGATGGAGAGGCATTAGATATGTTGCGGAACGGTGAACTTGAATCAGAGAAGTTTCAGTTGAGATAAAAACAATAAATCGTCCAACCGTAGGTAGGTTAAATTATGCAACTATTAGCAGTTGTGACTAATCAGTAGGATATTTGGTAGCTCAACTAGTGCAGGGATCCTTAGCAAGATATTTAGGTGTGACATAGTTATATCGCAAGGCATGCAAGTAATGATACCTTATTTAGGCGGGTTGGTGGGCGTTATAAGCGGCTCTATGAAGACGTCAATCTCATTATCAGTAGTGCGCCATAGCCAACTCGAGTCGTTGTTTCTACAGGTCCGGCGGCTTGCACGTTACACATGTCTACATCTCCACTACTACTATTCAAGGTCGTACAATGCCACGTATCCGTCTCGAAGAAAGTCATGAGAGGGCTTCCATTTCTCACGTCCAACCGGATCAAAACAAATCATTCAATCTCGTGTGCTATTACGGCTGCGAGTAACAGTGCGATTACTCGAAATTTGTCATATCTCTATTAGAAGGCCTGAGCATTAGTTGATAACCGGCATTTGCACTACGATCCCCCTTTATCCATTCGATAATTCAGCAAGGTTAAGAACTAGCTGTTTCTTCAGAGTAGGTAGTGCGGAATTCAAACGTTACAAAGACGCATGGTTTATCGAGTTCTTTGTGTTACGCATGTAAACCTCAAAGAGAATACATCATTGGATCTATTATTAGGTACTTTATCATTGTGCAAGCGCTAAATACACTATAAAGAAATAAAAACTACAGCTCTGTGCAAATCGAACAAGTAGTAGTGCAACAATGGACAATATATACGCATACAATGAAGTTGGGATCTTTTCAGAAAATCTATTTAACGGGGCCTTTTTCCGCGTCTAACTTGTATTATAACCACCTCTATAACCATTCCTACAACCCTTTCTACAAAATGCGTACTAAACTTGAAGTTGTAACGCAAGACTATGGTACAGAGACTGTGGAACAGGGCCGTGCCCTTGCTAGGAAGGAGTTATACGATACACAAAACCCGCCACTTGATCAATGGTTTAAGCTTAAACTTCCATACAAGGCTCTCGATAGCCCTGATATACCTTCAATGGCTGATATTGAACAAGGTATGAAACATAGCCTGTTAACTCGGTCTGGTGGGTGCTTCCAAGTATGCAGGATCGGAAACCTCGTCGTCAAATGTGGCACCTGTCCAAGAATCATACAGGAAGCAGAGAACATGCTTTTCCTCCGGGAACACAGCCAAGTCCGGGTTCCCAAAGTCTATGCCGCTTTCATCGACCCTTTCTTCGTTGACGACAACTTGACAACCGAAGTATTCTACCTGGTCATGGAATTTATCGAAGGCATCACGCTGACCCAGTTTATATTCCAGGGTCTCGACGAGAAGTCCCAGATGCAGATTTGCTCGAGTCTTGGAGACCAATTTCAACTTCTCCGATCCGTTCCTGCTCCACCTGAGAAATCCTTTGGCCGTATTTACCATCAAGGTATAAACCCTCGATTCGCCCTTACATGTTCTCGATGTAAGGAAATGGCTGGACCCTACAATACTTATAGCGATCTCATTTCAGCTATGCATACAAGTGCTGAGTGGGACCTCATGATGCGGACTAATAGCCTAGAGTTTACAAGCAAAGAAGCAGAGTTTTTGTCGCAGTTCAAACCCAGCTTGGAAGTAACTGAAGAGCACAAGCCTGTGTTGACGTATCTGGACCCTAGATTTGAGAATATGATTGCCCGACCTATCACAGGGGATGATGGCGAGGTCAAGGACTGGGAAGTTACCCTGATTGATTGGGATCTATTCTTCTGGATGCCAGTCTGGATGCAGTGTGCGGCGTTGCTCGAGCGGATTTGGTTTTGGACCGAGGAATCAAATCTGAATGGGCCTATAGTACATCTCCCAGAACTGAGAGCGAAGTTCCATGGGCAGGTATTCGCGCGGATCGAGGGCTCCAACTCCTATCCGAAAGAACTCGCATTTTTGAGAAAATGTGATGATGATACGCTTTATAGACTCTTTTAATTGCTGGCAGTTCTGTAGTGAAACGTCACGATTAAGGTAGAATAATTCATGTAGTATTGGCGTTATCGATCTATCAAAACCTTAAAACCTGCCTATTATCATATTTTCATTGCAACGTAAATCAATGAGACCTATTCTCTGCTTGCATCTGTGCAATTTACGGGAGTACTACTACTATAAAGTTGGTACAATTCTTGACTCTACCCCCTGCATATCCACATTGAAGTGAAATCCTGTACTTCGCCATTAACTTCCTATTCCGACTTGGTGAACACTCAAATACCCGTAGCTCCAAATCCAGCCTCTACAAGGAGTTACCATCGTACGTGTCCATAAACCTCCATGATTTTGGTCCAAATGAAGAAGTAGTGTTGATACCCACAAGTCGAATATCTCATCCTGATCTAGTTGATGTGATGGGTCTTGCGGAATTGGATGGTTCTCGCAGATTGGAGCGAAGTCTGTTGCGCTTTGGACCCAGCCCAATTCCGCGATCAAGTTCTGGGCCGAGTCCTGGCGGTAGTTAGACTCCACACTACCACCTTGGATGTCTAGATAGTAAGTGTTGCATATGTGGGAGGTCCAGATCCTTTCGGAAACGTAGGATGGCCAGGTCTTATCGGCAACGTATACGTATAGTTTCTTCCTTCCACGAAGGTCTTGCCCCGTGTAAACTAAGTGCTTGTGCCGGGAAGGGGATGTCGTCATGTTATCCTTGATATGGTGTTTGGACTTTTTTTGTACCACCGAGCTGCTGTGTTGTTGCTTGTAGTCGGATGAACGGTCTCTATCACGTTTGGGTTCGCTGGTACGTTGCTGCCGAGAATTTTGTGTGTGTTTAGGTAGATTATGGGAGTGTAGACTCTCCTGAATGGCTTGCGGAGAATAGAATGCTGCTTGGAAAGAAGGAAAGGATGTCTAATGATATAGGCGAAAGACATGATTGCGTGTAAGACAAACGATGACTGTCTTAGTAACTTTTAGTCGCACAATCTGGGTGTCTGAAAGCTACTAGACTACTTGACAAATAACATGAGACAATCAAAGACGGGTTTACCTGCTGTACAAGCTAATACGCAAGCCATGGGAAGGGAGAATAGCCTGGAATTATCAGCGAGAATATCTGAAAATCGCTTTCACTGCGGTTTACTTGCTCGTAAATTTGAATAGCACATGAGTTGACCTTTTTCAAAATTTTGATACTCCTAGACATGCTAGTTAACTCCTGTTTTCTTGTCCTATATGGAACTATCACTCTAAAATGGTCAAAACTCTCTCATCCACTGCCAAATTTGTCGTCCACCTACCAGTTTCACAACATTGCAGTGGAGAGGAAAGCATCGACGACATGCGGATCACCCTGAAGGAATTGTTTGATAGACACAATAAGTCCTATAATCTCAAGGAAGGATGAGTGTGTTGCGGGCGTATAGACAGTTGATACTCAGGAAGTCTTGCATGTGACGCCTCTGAAGTTCACGTTCTCCAGCTAGTAAGTAAAAGAATGGCGACCGAAAGAGTCGTGGTAGTAAACTAGATAGAGAAGGATTGGCTAATAAAGCATTCTGCAGGAATCGTCGTCCGCTTCACGATCATATCTTATCCGACGTCAAGATCATGTTTGCTGGGGGTCTCAACCGGCTACCAACCGTTCCGTCCCCAGCATTTGATGTTGCCCTCACCCTCCCCCACATCTAGAATCGATTTATATATATTTGGGAGCTGGTAGAGATTGGGGGCATGGTGCGATGCCCCCTCTGTTGAATGGGGTAGGTGATAACTCGTCAGAGTTCGTCAGAGCTTGTCATACAAAGCTATACGGCCTGGATTCCGATACCAGCTGCCCTCAGTTGGCCATATAAGCCTAGACTTTTACATGCGCATTAAGTATCTCTAGTTCACCGAAGATAGCTAAACAATAATTGTTGCGTATTTTGATTGTCTACACATAGACTTCTAACATATCTTACTATGGTAAACGTGGAATAAAGTGCCAGAAAGCAGCCTGGCACGTAGATTTGCTTGCAACCTCTTTCAGAAAGTGAGGCTTCTATTCGGTGCTGCGTGTTGCATTCCCACCTTCAAAGACTTTCCCAGCCCCATGTCAACCCTCCAGAAACCCACCCTGCCCCAACCACCGCTCACACATGCCCACCCAGTCACTGACCGGTAGCCCTGGCGTATCCAGGGCAAAACCATGCGGCGCATCAGCAAAAACATGCAACTCTACCGTACCACCCGCCTGCGTGACACCCTCGGCTAACCGATACGCATTAACAACAGGCACGACCGGGTCGTTCCCAGAGTACACTATGAACGTTGGCGGTGCTGGGCGCTGAAGCTGTACATCTGGCTGTAACGTGTTGTACAGCTCTTGTTTCTGCCGCGGCGGAAGGGGCGCTTTATCCGGCACGATGGTGCGGCCAACTGCATTCGTAGAGATGGGTGCGTACCCGATTATTGCAAACTGTAATCTTGGAAGTTCCGGTTCCGCATTTCCATTTTCTTCTCTCCACGTCCGTGGATATTCGGCGAGTAGACTTGCTGCTAGATGGCCGCCGCTGCTCAAACCGCAAACACCTAGCCCATTTTTTGCGAACCCTTTCTCTTCAATGATCTTTAATGCGCGTCTTGCGTCGTCGAGCGGTGCTTGCGAGCTCGACTGTGCGTTCGGAAATCGGTGGACTAGCACGAAAGCGTGGAAGCCCAGTTTTGTAAGCCAGCGCGCTACTTGGAGTCCTTCGCGCCCGACCATGAGTTCAACATAGCCACCTCCACCGCAGATTAGAATGGCTCTGTTATTTGTTGTGGGTGATTGGGACTGGAAGCCGAAGAGCCAAGGGCGTTGGACGGAGGTGACGACTGCTTTGTCGGGATCGACATTGGATGTGTCGAGTGTAAAGGCACCTTCAATTGGCTCGTTGTCGTTGAGAGCCCATGAAAAGTCGGCATTGAAATGTTTAGCTGAATTCATTGTTGGTTTAGTGGGGACTAGAGGTTGTCATCGGAAGGGCAGTCAGGGCTGTTCGTCTTATGTACGCAATATTCTCGCTGTATCTTTAGCCCGAGGACGCCGAGACTAGTGGATCATGATCTCGTTGGAGAGAAGAAGAATTGAAAATATCATTAATGCATATTCAACGTACGCATGTGTCTGATGCTACATCGTTGACACCCTTCACCTACTAGAACATAAGCAAGCAGCAATCCTATGCACTAAACACATGCCCAAGTCTAGAATGACAAATGCCTGGTAACGCCAAACTCGCTAGTAATAACTCAGTCACATGTTTGTCAATACAATGATCTACGCTTCAACTTCGTCCTATATCAAGTCAGCAAGATCACATCATATCATCGTCTCCTCACACGAGAACTCACGTAGCAGCCCAACTCCTCCGACTGACCGGCCTCGTCGCATCATCAACCGCGGCTGTGGTCGGCCTCTTATCAACCCTCGATCCGTCAGTAGTAGAATATCCTGATGTGTTTGCCATTGAACTCGACGGTCTGCCCTTCTGTCCTGCAGTCGTCGATGTTGGCGTATGCACGACCTCCCCGAAAACCGGGTTGACGGCCGTGAAGGTAGGTGCAGCGGATCTTGGTCGTAAAGGCGGGTTTCTGTCCCTCGATGCGATCGCGCTGCGCATGCGCAATCGATCGTTCTCGTTCACCTTCGCCTCTTGGTTCGTTTTATCTTCTAGTGATTTTTCGTCTTTTCGTACCATTCTCTTCATGAGATCTTTAAATCCGTGGCTCTTTCTTCTCGAAGCTTTCAGTTCCCCCAGTTCTGCGGGCGGGACATCATTCGACACCAGACTCCACCGATTTGGAGTACTGACGCTTCTCAGGTGCTTTTTCGGCGTTTGCTGTATGCTTTCCTTGCTTTTAGGGCCTGCCGATGAAGGCATGGGTCGCATAGCTTCTACGGAAGCAGGTTCTTCTGAAGGCCTTGTTAGTTGTGGGCTTAGATCTTGGATGAGCGTGGCATCACTAGACCGCGCGGAGGTTCGATCTGCTGACACAATGCGCTGGCGAGTACGATGTAATGCGAGGCGTTCGTGGTCGAGCATGAGTTGTTCCTTTGTTGCTTGGAGTTCAGAAACGGTTATTTTGAGGCGTTCGATCTCATTTTGATCTTGGGTATGGAAGTTAACCGCCGCGCCGACTTCTCCTTGCAAGCCGTTGACCAAGTGATCCTTCTCGACGATCGTATTTCTGAGGAGCTGGACTTCTTCATCCTTGGCTAGAACAGCGTCCCGGCTCTCCTTTAACTCTCCTTCCATGCGCTGGAAATGGACACGATGAATAACACTCGGTCGTGCGGTTTCCAAGTCCTCATTGATAGCCTTCTCGAGCCTGACCTGCTCTCTTAATGTTTCAGCATCTTGTTGAGCGGCGAACATCCTTGCGTTTGCATCGCGCAGTCTCTTCTCCAACGTCTCTACTTCAGCATATAGTCTCAAGTTGTCCTCTTGCGCAGTATGAAATAACGCTTCGAGGTCTCTTGCATCCTGCTGATGCTCGTCGATTGTCGGTAATCGGCCGTTGAAGTTAGTCCGATTCTTTCTTTGTCCCTCTATTTCTGATAACTTGACCACTGCTTCCTGTAATTGCTCGCGCGTCTGTATATGTTGTTCTTTTTCTTCCGTGAGGGCGCTCTGTATCTTCTTTGCAACATCCCACGCCCTCAGAAGCTCCGCCCGCTGGTTGACAACAGCTTCGGCGGTTTTGGTTGCCATGGCAAGATCTTCTCGTAATTTTGCAATCATGACATCCTTTTCTTGCTCGGATCCTGCGGAATCTCTACCCTTCTTCACCCGTAGCAGTCTAACCTCCAGTGCATGGTCGCCCCCTTCTTCAGGCATGTTGTCCTGACCTGGCTGTGGACTTGCTTCACGACCAACGGAGGTGAGTCGGTCCCTGAGTATTTTGAGTTGTGCGTCCTTGTCGTCCAGCTTTGCGTCGCGATCCTTGATGTACTTCTCTTTCCGCGCGTTCGCTTTTCGTAGGGCGAAAAGTTCAATATCCTTTCGATATACAATTGCCTGATGATCTTTTCCGAGTGTTTGCTTGACTGTCGTTAGTTCTTCGCATAGGCTGGAGTATTCTGCGATTGTCTCATTGAGCGCCTCGCGCGCATCACGAAGCTCCTCCTTTGCGCTACGCAGCTGCACTTCTTTAGCCTTGTTAGTCGTTTCCAGCTCGGCGAGGTTTTGTTGAAGTCGCACGATCTCCCCCTCCTTAGAGTCGATTGGGGGTGGTTTTGTGTCGGATACCCCTGACGGCGAGGCTAGGATAGACGGAATGTCCCCAGACTCGACGATCCCGTTACTCGGGTGATGTGCGAAATCCGATTCGGCTAGAACAGAGTGAGTTTGGACCAGGAGAATTTCACCAGCTGATGCAGGTGGGGCCTGGTGTTGCTGTTCTGATTCGCTGCCATTGGTAGCGTCCGCTGCCTCACGGCCTAGAACCCACTGAAACACGTCAAACGCGACCATGACTAGCACAACGACCAACAAATCAAGGGCGCCGAGCCTATGATTTGCAGAACTGACGAGCGCGATGAAATGTAGCACGTTCGCAATTGCTACTTGATGCCTGCTCGCCCAAGAATCCGGAAAATGTCTGGAGCCCCAAGTGAAGAAGCCCGGTAGGGTTGCGGTGATCGCCACGGAAAGAGATCGGCAAAACGAAAAGTGTAACGTCCAGTTATTCCCGACGCACTCGTCTATCTTAATACCAGTCGACTTGATGTTATCGCGTATATTTTCGATGATTCCATGCGTAAAAGTCGCTGAAGGCCTGTCACCTATAGGAAATAGTCAGCATTGAGAAACTTTTGCCAAGACCGTTCGCATACGAGTCGACTCTCGAATGCAATAGAATTGAACGCTCAACTAGCTGTTGACGGGTGGTCGGAAGTTGTATCAAAGGGGCTGTTTAAGGGTCGTTTAAGGGTCGTTGGTGTCAGACTAAGTGATCAGGTGCCCACCACGAAGCTGAAAGCTCTACTGCATCGAGGAAGGTCCGACTTACTCAAGCGGGGAATAGGAACGGTATGCTTCAATGAGAATGCTCTCGCAATGTCAGAGGCTGATGGAAATGTCTGCGATAGTACTGTGTTTTCCACTTCTGGCAATGGAGATGTCCAAATAATGTAAAAGTACGACCCAGGCACGACAATAACTAAAAGAGCAGCCACAGACAATGGATTGTGTTGCGCGTAGTCTCGGACGCCGTCAAACACTGTTGGCATTGTGGTACGTGCCAAGCCTGGGAAATGGTCGTGAGGTAAGACAAGAGAATAAAGGCGCGTTGGACGGGTCGTGTGGAAAGAAACAGTTGTCCGCTTCAGCCGTCGCTTTGATGAAGTCGCGGAGAGTGCAGTTTCGTATCGGAAGGGAGAGCGTGACAATCATTACCAATGAATTCGACACAGGGGTGCAAGCATTATACTATTCATTGAAAGTACAGTATGTAGATGCTGTGAACAACATGTCGCATGACGCCAAAAGCGAACGAGAACATGAAGAAGGGAGAAAAAATAGGAGAGCCTTAGATAAAGGGGAAATGCGCATGAATAACCAAATGACGTGCGGGGATGCAAATGACCTAACGCCGTGATGAAATGCACCCGAAAAGAATATCATAGCAAAAGTATAGGGAATTTGACAGGGGCCTGACAGCATGGGCGAATAGATGCCAGGTGGGTCATATGTCGAAATGTTTGAACCCTTCCACTAATCCATCGCTGATTTTCGATGGTATTGCCCATACCGGCAGATAATGTTGGAGTTCGTCGAGAGCGGGAATCTCTCCCGCATTTGCATCAGACCAAAGGCATACGATTCTTCCAGAAAGCTTCGGCTGCTCCTTAGCGTTCCACGTTACGTCAACATCCCAGGGCTGAGACCACTCGCGATGCCAGAGTCGCACTTCAAGGGATCCCGTTTCACCGACTGGCCTGAAGCGAGGATCTGAAACGGCGCCGGCAACCGCCAAATCAGAAATGGGCGTGTCAAAAACAATGCGACAGGATCGCGTGTTCCGGCCAACAACGTGTATCGTCGCTTTATTCGTGCTGTTGCCCTTTTGTATGGAATAGCTCAGCCAGCTATCTGTCCGGGTTTTGTTGCTGAAAGGCGACGCTTTGGGAATGACCTTGGCGGGGATACCCTCCCACTCGCACGTCTTCAGCTCTTTGCGCGTCACCACGTCTGGCGTCGTGCAATTCAGCCCTCTGCCCTGCGCACTGGGTAAATCACCAACAATGCGCTGGATATAGCCGTCCAAGCCAGTCAAGGATACAGTGTTTATGCCGGTTTCGCAGTTGACGCGCTGGACGAAATACACCTTTAAGCGATGCTCCCTGCTGAACGGGAACGCCACGAGGTTGTAGATGACAGTTGCAACGCAGACCAGGAACAAGAACGTCGGGATATGGTATGTAAATCGGTGGATGAACGGTGCGGTAGGAGCAAGAAGGAGCACTGTAAGTACTGCAAAGCTGATATAAATGAAAAGAGGTGAATTACCGTCCGATGGGGTCTGGTATAGTGCCGATGTCAGCAGTAGAGAAATCTGTCCGACCAGGGTGACAGCGATGGTCGCCACCGGTACGAACTGGACGATCCAAAGCCAGCTGGGTAGCTTGCTACTCCATTCTTGCTCTCCTGGATATTCATGTCCAAGATCCAGTCGCCGAGGCCCTGGTTCGTGATCATCGCCTCCTTCGCTCGTAGATTCTCGCCTGCCGCCATATCTTGCGAAACTTCGTCGGTCACCCCGAAGGAGTGAGGTCGTCTCAGTTGCGTCATCGTCTTGGGCCGGGCGATCATCAGATCGAGCTGCGCTAGTAGTACCCGTGAGCGGCCGGCTGCCAGATTCGGAGTTGGGCCGAGGGGATTCGATCTGATCGAAATGGCGTGCATATGCAGACTTGCTCGGCGCGAAGAACAATTCGAGATATGAGATTAAAATAGCGAAGAAAATAGCTGCAAAGTAGAACAATGCAGGATACCCAGCTGCGAGATGGTAGTTGTTGACAAGAACTGTCACCAGGGCGAGAATGGCGAAAGATCCAATGAACAGCCAGATCAAAGCGTACATGCGCTGGAGTGCTGAGGGTCGCATGGCATCAGCTCCACGCAAGAAAAACCATGCAATGGCAAACCACGCAGAAAGCATCATACTAGGCTTAAATCAGTAGTGAAACAACCAAGAGCAGGATAAATTACCTCCACACAGCATACGGACTGCTGTAAACAATGAACGGGTTGACGCGAACTATAAGGTACGCTAAGCCAACCACGGCCGCCGTAGCTATGACCAAGACGATTGGGAATCGAAAGAAACCGCGCCAACCATACAGGTGTACTGGATGATCGTCATCTGAAGAACAAACATAGGCCCTACGAGCGAGGAGGTAGTTCTTGCCGGCTTTTGAGAGACCGACGGTAAGGCCAATCAGAGTGAGGGGTGCCACGACCAGTAGCGTTACACATAAGGCGAACAAAGTATGCAACTGGAACACGACGAAGACTTTGCCAAAGATGTCGAACCAAACTGCATCGCTCCCGCTGCCGGTCTCGGCATCGTCGTCGCCGTGACTAGAGTCATCGCCAGAGCCACCAAATTCATCATTGGAGACAGAGGCTAGACCAGAAGTTGATGCTAATGCTGCAGAGAGCATGTGCCAAAGGGAATTCATAGATGTCTCTCGCGTAGAGTCCTCGACAGTGTGGTACCGCGCTCGGGGTTCCATGAAAGCAATGTCCAAACCACGGAGCCCAAGTTCGCCGTGGAAGACCTTGTAGTCCGTCTCGCTGCGGATGAGGCCTTTTTTGAATCCATCGCCGCTGACAACAGTGCCAAATGGATGGCTCGATTTCCGGTAGAAGCGCGTCACCTCAGTGTCGGTGCTTCGAAAGAGCGTGGCTCTGCCGCCTGCGCCAGCACCCTCCAGGTTAACAAAGGTACGTGGTACTCGCGAGATGGAGTTGCGCATGAAGGCTTTGGCGCCGTTGAGGAAGTCTTCTTCTCCGTTGTTCAGGAGGAGGACTACCGTCCGTTTGGGCCAGTTCTCGGACTCGGTAAAGTATGCTAGTAGCTGGAGCACCGTGACGACTCCTACGCCGTCATCTGTTGCGCCATATCCAGTGCTGACCGAGTCGTAGTGGGCATTGACAAGCACGCCGCCATTGTCAGGTCTGCGTTCCGCTGGTAGTGGACCGCCGTACTCCCCGAATGGCTGGTCGTCGTCGGACCCGCGGATGGTGACAATGATGTTGGTGCCCTCGAAGTAAACAGAGGTGGGCCCAGATGAAAAAGTAGCATTGGCAACCGTGTCGTCTATGACCTGGACCTGATCTTTTGAGAGCTCCTTGGACGCGACAATGTGCTTGATGCGTGATAAAAGGTAGCTGCGGACGTCATCATTGGCATGGCTGTTGTATGGATGAAAACGACGTGTAATGTGTTCTAGGTCGTCCCAAGCCTGGGTGAGATTTGTGCCCGCGGGTGGGTTGGACGGGGAATTGGGCACTCTTAGATGCACAGTAAGCAAGGCGGCAAAGAGCGCTATGTACGTGACGGTGGTGAAGAAGATGACAGGGCCGGGCGTAAAGGAAAAAGGATTGAGGAAAGCCATGACAGCTCGGCTCTGGTGCAGCCACGTAGCTCACCGACGCTCTGCAGCGCGTCAAGCCGTCGATGCAAGGTGCAGTGTGCAGTGGCTTGGGGATAGTCGTGGTTGGAGTCGTTAATTGGGAAACCTGCGGGGCTCTGGGAGCGAGCTCGTGCAAATGCAAATGCGTCATAGCTCTGCCTATGCAGCAACAACCCTGCCGAGGGAGAACCCAACCACTGTACGACGGACGACTAAACACTACAACAACACGACTAGCCACCATGGTCCGACGGGCTATCTCTGCCCATTCACGTTTTGCTACCTTTTAGAATTGGCCAGAGAAAGCCATGTCTCCCACTGTTTCGATGTATGCCACAGACCGACCGTTCGACCTCTTCTAACAACTAGGTCTACTATCCATAGTGCCATGCATGGCCTCTCTCGATGATGAAACCCACCGCAAGCACGAGAAGTCAGTCGAGGAGCCGCCGCGACCTCCAGTGCTCACCGCAAAGCCTGCCGTCTACTCTGGGTGCTGCCTCGGACTCAGCGCGCCCCTCATCACCCACTTCCACACGCTCCTCCCCCCGTCGCCTAGTCTGGTTCTCTCCGTCGGCAGCGGCTTCGGCCTTCTCGAAGCGCACCTCAACGCTGGCCCATCCCCGTTGAACATCGTTGGTGTCGAAGTCGAGCCGAGCCCGAACGTATACCTTCCCGTGTCAAGTCATCGCATTGTACACGGGTCGCGCTTTCTCGAACCACTCGCTGGTGAAGCTACGGCATGGCTCTTCGTATACCCAAGACGCGTAGGCTTGGTGCAGGAATACCTAGCAGAGTATAGCGAAGGCAGCGTGGAGAAGATCATCTGGGCGGGCCCCAAAGCAGACTGGGATGACTACGTCGGCTGCTTCTCTGGCTGGGACGTGATAATACAAAGCACGGACGAGGTTGGAGGAAGGCCGTGGGAGCTGATCGCTGTAGCCAGCAAGTGATCGAGATAGGCCGGACAACTTCCGCGTAAAGCCTTGGACCTCATCAACAATAAGGAATGGCATATCATGCATACATGTCCTCATTTCCTATCAGCGAGCTCTACTTCTACGTGAGTCAAGCGCACTTCATGCAAGGCTTCTAGTCAACTCGGATTTTTACATTGCCACCAAATGCTTCAGCGTCGCATGTGCTAAGTTTCAGGCGCTGTGTCGGCCCAGCCGCCTTCATCTTCACTTCCGATTTCGCATTGTCTAGTTCATCCTATCAATTGTCTCATTGTGTTCGATCGCACGCCCTTCTACGTTATCCTAGCATTCTGGCGAAAGAACAACAATATCCTTTTGTTCTCGACAACAAAACATCCTTTGAGTTGTGTCTCTACATGTCTTTCAATTAGGAAACAAAGCTTTCTTTGAGTTCATACAAGTCCCACTCCCCGTCAGCTATAGTGCAAACCTTCCACGTTTTCATCGTCTAAAGACCACCTCAAGATTTTTACATTCCGCTCATCGACCCGTAAAGGCAATATACGGTTGACTATACCCTACTGTTGTTGAATGACATACGCACACTCTACGCAATAACCCCACCAGCAACCACTATGGCAGCTATAGTAGTAGCCGTTCTTTATGGGGCATCGCAATTGTTTGTGCCGCAAACTGAAGCAATGGCCGGTACAATTGCTGCGATGAACTTAGCCGTCGTCGTACCTCATTACGTTCCGTCTTTCGACCAGACGCAAGCATGGGTCCGTAACTACACGTCTAGAGCGTTGATTGGGGGTGACGACATCATAATACCATTCGCCAGCCTCGACAGCACCCTGAACACTAAGCTTAATATCGTGGAGGCCGCAACGTCCAGCTCGCCTCGACGCATCAGCTCTATCATCATGAACCAATTCCCTGGCGCTTCTTCTCTCCTTTCTACTGTCTACAGTCCCTCAGCTGCTTCAACATCAGCATCGACAATGCAACTTCCGACGCACTCGGCGAATTTCAAATATTCGTCGTCCCACACTACCAACGGCACTCTCCACAGCGACAAGATGTCTCGACACGATCCAAGGCAGCAAGGTTTCAAGAACCCTGCAACCTGGCTTACCATCCTGACCCCCTTCGTCCCCTTCCTTCTATTCTGTGTTCACGGCCTTCTCATCGAACGACGCCCGCACGGGGAACGGATCTTCAGCACCCTACTAGGCAGTTGGTACGCCTTCGTTGTCGGCTGCATCACATACTTCGACGCTCCTTTTCTCTTCATACAAAACTTCCTCTCTGGTTGGCGACTAGTCAGTCCCTTCTTAAACGAGGCTTATCGTGAAAGATTCTTCTCTCAGTGCCCGTGGATCCAACCGACTGAAGAGTTCTTCGCCGCTCGCGCTCTTTGCGCTATTCTCGTTGGAACCCTTCTCAGCAGCGTGTGGATCGCCGATGCAACGATGAGGCGGACTTGCACTTGCGATGTCCGCCACGAACAACATCTTCACCCGTTCTTCAAAAATCTCAGTGTTACTACCTGGCAGCAGATAGTCTTCGTTCAGATCATAGCCAACATCCTCATCTTCTGCTACAGCTCGTATGTCCAGGACTTCTCCATTGTCTACGCGGTCGAATTGGTGGCATACACATGTCACTGGCTTTACATCCATCAAGATTTGGTCAAAACGTTCTTATCGCAGACATGTGCTATGTCTGCGGCTGCTATTGTTCAAGCCGTGCGAAACAGCCTCGGAAATCTCCGAACCTTGTACGACTTTCTCAACCGTGTCAGGCTATGGTTGGTTCTTTACATCAGCATCGCGGTAGTCATTTACTGGCTTAAGTGTCTCGACAACCCTCTGTCATCAATCAAATGGGGAATGTCACACAAATTCTCGCAACAAACTCACGATAATATCAGTACGATGGCAGAACGATTCGCTCTAGTCAACGCTTCCTACTATATTGCTATAGGCCTCGTAGCTCTTATCATCTTCATGTTCCGTGAACTCGCTCGAAGCCTGTGGGATCTTTTGGTAGCTCACGTTCAGACGACTACAATGAAATCCTATCATTATATTCAGCACATTTGGACAACCGTTACCCAGTTTGTGGTGGAATGTTACACACGCATAGTCAAGGGTATTGCAGAAGGTCTCTCGTTGTTCCTAGACGGTATTGAATATATATTCCAGAGCCTTGGAACTGGGGTTTCAACTGGCGCCGCATCGATCGTGGCTGGCTTCCTTGCCAGCAAAAGTCTGGGGAGAAATGTAATCTTCCGCTTTGGCCCCGTCGTTGGAATAATTCTCGAGCGTATCATGGTTGCTCTTTCCAGCGGTTTCTTCGTTCTATGGGCCATTGATTTCATCGGGCGCTTGGTGCACTCTGACTATGAGGCGTTACCTCATATCTCTTGGGATTCCCGGTCGGCTACCGACAACGCACAACCAGCTGAACTATGGACTAACGTCGCTATCCATCCAGCCATGGTCACAGGTTGGAACAAGATTGTTGTGCCATCTTGGACAGGCGTCACTATGAAGGGTTCGGAGACCGTGCAGGCTCTTCCTTCAACTCTTGAGTTCTATGCCACGAGTTTCAAACAGTTCGTAGCAATCTTCGATCAGCCATGGATTATAGCACTCGGAATGCTCCAAAACGCTCCCCTGCACTTCATGGCGCTTGTTCATCAAGTCGGTCGAGTCAGTCCTTTGACCCGTATTGTCATCACGGAACTCCGAGACAAGGTTTCCCTAGCTCTTGTGTGGGCATGGCTTTCACGTGCGCTTACAATAGCAATCCTCACCGCTGGTCCTACGATTGTCTGTATCGTTGCGTTGCGGGCTTGGCCGCAGCACAAGCTCCACTCAGCAATTACCGTTACTACGAGCCTTGCCACACCTTTCATGCGCAACTTTGCTCCAGCAATTCGTGGTTTTGAGCTCATCCAGGACCACTTTATCGTCAACATAACGGTTATCATCATCTTGTTGTCATTCTGGCCCAGGGATAGCACCCCTGGTGAGGTCCCCGTAGTGCCAACAACTCAGGGAGACGTAGAGACTCAACCCCGTACCGTCCCCAAGCCTCCGACCCAGCAACCAGATGATCTGTGGGACCCATTTCAAAACGATTTGCAGGATGCCGACCAACTTCGAATTGATGCCGACCAAAAGGACGCAAATATTGATATTGATACTGATGTTAACTCACACGCCTCTAACAACGAGAGAGAAGATCCAGATGTGGAACAGCAGGAAGAAGAACAGAGCTGGAAGCAGTGGCTCCGTGACTTCTTTCGTAACTGCATCCCTACTCCTGAAAGCTTAGCCACCGACTCGCAACTGGAGTCAGTTGAAACAAGCGCGCCTGAGGAGGTAGCAGTAGCCGCTCAACATCATTTAGAGACGGATGATATCAATCAAGAGACGAAAAATCTATTAGTGTCTCTCCACCGATCAACAGACAAGGCTACGTACATTGAGAATTTGGCAAACCGCCGCACGGCCGTTGAGCAGGCAGTAGCTCCATTTCACCTTAACGAGCCTCGTAATGCTGAACCAGAGATCATTAGCGAGTCAGAGCCTCGTGAAGTGCTCCAGGATGTACCCAACGTGTCTCCTAATCAGACCGCTCTACCCGAGCCCGAAGAGCCTCGCAACGCTGAACCCGTGAGCAACAAGCCAATATCTCGAGAGGTGCTCCAGGATGCACCGATTGTATCTCCTCTTCAGAACTCTCTCCCTAAGCCTGAGGAGCCTGGAAAATCTGAGGCGTTGAAGATTGCCTCTTCAAAACCACGCGATGTGGTCCCGGCTACCCCTTCGGCCTCTAATCCGCAACTATTTAAACCTACGTGGACTCCGGGCCCCTCTATGTTCCCGCTCCCTAACATGTTTGAACGGTCTGCGGGTCGGCCTTCTAATGTTGCATCAGTGGATTCCCTACCTCAATTCCGCGATAGGCTTCTAGGGGCTTCTGATATGCTCACGCAGATAAGAAGGGAGGCTGAAGCCCGAGCCTGTAAGGGTGGTAACGGAGGGCTTGTTACACCATCTGAACCACCTAAATCATGTGATGGTAATCAAAGCTCAAGGAACTACAATGGAAGTGATACCGAGCCAGCTCCTATGAGAGCTCCACCGTCAGGCGCTTCCAACGATCGGCTTGTTCCTGACGACGAGGACTACAAGAAAAAGGAGGAGATTGAGGATAAAAAAATGGACATCGAACCTCGCCCTGAAGACGAAGACCTTACGGTTGCAATCGAACAAACCACTTCTTCCGCAACTCCCAGTCTGAGCAAAGCTTTTCGCGACGGCAACCTACCTGGTGCTCTAACATATGTTTCTTCTAGTCCCGTAAATGCCCCTACTACTCTAACAGGCGTCCCTTCCATTCCCTCAGACATTCTTGCATCTTCTCAGCCTACCACCCCAGAAGATAAACAGGAGAAAGACGAGGAAGGCGAGGAGAAAGCGGAGAAGGGGAATGTCCCGATAAACGCTGAGAACGTCACTTCTGAGGGCCTCAACATTCCTGAAAACAATGAGGATGCCGATTCCGATGCTCTCACTGAGATTAGCGAGGACGAATTGAATGTCATGGGCATTGAACAGAATATCGAGCGTCAGAATGTAGAGATCAAGGCACAACAATTGATGTCAAACGAGGAAAACACGAACGATGGTAGACAGGGAACATCCAAAGTTAAAGCGGACATCGATTCCTCCTCCGATGAGAGCGATCAGGAGTGGGAGGACGTACTCATAAAGACCGGAGATGAAAAGCCGCAGTCGAATGCAACCCAAGGTAGCGAGAATACCACCAGAAAAGAGTCTCCAACAAATGAGGGTGAGACCGAGCGCATCAAAGCCCCCGGTGAAGACTCGCAAGAGGCAAGGTAAAGGCACTTCGGAATCTTCGACTCCCGTCGCCCAAGCATTTCTAAATCTTTCTACGTCTGTCAACTCCTCGGTTCCTCATGTTAACACCTTGCCGGTACCCTCGACCGCACATCCTCCGGCACCTTCGAACGTTGTTGTTCCACTTCCTGCACCGCCGCGGGCATTTAGTCCAATTCCCTCTCAATTTCAGGAGCAGTCGATATTTCCAGCTGCGAAGCAAACAGAGACGAAACCAGACACACAGACAGAGCCACGTCTTCAGAACGGCCCTTCAGGACCTTACTATGTTGACCGGGCGGGCGTGAAGCACGATGTCGGCGCAATTGAGGGAGATTTCTATCAAGAGAGATTCTGCACCAGTGAAGGGCAGGAGATTAGTTTTGACAGAGAGGGTAGGGCGGTCGATACGTCTACTGATGAGCTTTATCTGGGGTAATTACTTTTGCGTTGGTTGATAGCGGGAAAGAAAAACCAGGAAGCGTGGAGTGAGGCGTTCAATTTTGGCTTTTCAGGTTGTTGTTTGTTTGTTTGGTTTTTGCGTAGGAAGGCTTGCGGATGTATCTATAGGATGATTAATTGCTTTTGTTTGGTTTCAAGAATTGGATCAAGTACGCATCTCTTGCGGATTTATTATACTTAATGCATAGTCTGTGGCAACATGTAAGATATCCTAAATCTCGATATTAGTGCTTGTGATAACTAGGGTTATTATAGCTATTGTACTTTCTTTAAGCAGTGAAGTTACTAATAGCAGCGGAAAGTATTGCCAAATTAGGAGACATCTACCTTTGCTCCAGCTAGAATGTGCAATCGTTATTCGCGAGCACGGTGGTTATATGTGACCATTCAAGGAGAACAGTGCATGTAGCCAAGATCCGAAAGGGAAAACTGAACTTGCTGTACAAAGAAACAACAGGGTTGAATAGGGGAAGTGAGGTTATGATAGAGTGCATTTGCATGTGAATGACTCGCTTCGCTACCATACGGCGGGCTTCCGCAATGCCGAGGCCCAGCATGGCCAGCCTTGCGCGACATCGCGAACTATCTCCACACTTCTCCGGCTCCGCAAATGATCGCATCATGCACGACATCCACACCCTATCGCCCACCTCGAACCCTCAATCGCTGCCGCCTTCTACAGACATTTATTTCATGCTCGTGTCTGACCACAGCTCTCCGCCTTGACGTAATAGATGAAGTGCTCCCCACTCCGGGGGGCGCATAACCTACGCTCGTAATGTCAGACTCCGTGGGTAAGTGGGGAACGAACTAAATGCAAGGAGAACGCGTGCTAATACGTGGGTATTGGTAGACAGAGTATTCAGCCATGCGCTCAATACCGTCAATAAGATCCGGACTGGGTCGCAGAAGCCACCATCTGCGACACGACTACGACTGTATGGGCTCTACAAACAGGCTATGGGTACGCGATAGGTCGAAGACATGCGCTCTGGGAGCAACAAAGGCTGATACATGGCAGAGGGCGATGTTGATGGCATAATGGAACGCCCAGAGGGCAACGGCGATATAGAGCAACGGGCGAGGGAGAAGTGGTATGTTAGCACGCGACACCACTCTCTACAACCGAAGTTTAAGCAGGTTACTAAGATGCGACAGGGACGCTTGGAAACAGCAGAACAGCCTCTCACGCACCGAAGCGAAGCGCCGCTACATAACCACCCTTATCGAAACCATGCACAAATACGCCTCGCCCTCCCCCGACAGTCGCGAACTCGTCGCGGAACTAGAATTCGTTTGGGACCAGGTCAAATCAAATGTACCCTCTTCGTCTTCATCATCTCCACTACAGACACTTAGTCAGACGGGGATGCACATGCCACAAAACTATGGCTCACAACTGGGGCAGAGTGGGAGGGCCGCAATGGCCCAGGGAAGTGACATAGGCGGCAAAGCAAATGATGGTGATATTGATGACCAGCCTCTCCGAGTCAAGAGCCCCATGTCCCAAAGCGAAGAAGACTTAGAAGAAGAAGAGGCTGAGATTGAGCGTGAGGAATTCGTCGACGCCCCAGACTCACAATACAACCCGAACGCGGAGGACGTAGGCGTACAAACAGATCTCCAGAACCTCAGGCGACAGCAACCAATACCCATGGGGACACCGACACCCGCCCCCCGCATGCGAAGCATTGTCCCGCAACCGATACCCATGCCGGCTTTTACGAGCATACCGGCGACCAAAGCAGCAGCGACGGCGCCACAGCACGAGAGCGCAGCCGATCAGAAATGGCGGAAGCGCGTCGAGCAAGCCCTCGTCAAGATGACGGCCGAAGTCGCTGCGTTGCGCGAGCAACTCGAAGCCCGCCGCCTCTTCTCACACTCACCTCACTACCGGTTATTCCGCGGTCTATGGCGTTGGGCATGGGCGGCGATAAAGCACTTCGCCGTCGATGCTTTTATACTATGTATCGTGCTATTGTGGATGCGGCGGAAGAAAGATCGACGCCTGGAAGGCGCCATACGTGTGCTTCTCGGCGATGCAGTAGCGCAGGTACAAAGGGTTGGCGGTGTGAAGCTGGGGAAAGTGAAACTTCCTAGTCTTGGGGTTGGAGGTAAAAAGAGTACATGATGGTAGGGTTGATAAGAGTTGAAAGTGCAAGATCGCATGATATTGATATGTAACATTTTATGACCGGCGCCCTGGAGGCGTGATTCTGCATGGAAACCGGCAGTCACTTAGCAATATCTTTTTGTACAGGTATGTAGACTTCGTACTGATATATTAATTCGAATGCTCTTTGTTCTTCTTATGAAGAAGTTCATGAACTACACAAGATCACGAAGTGGGTACTCCACCGTGACTTAGAATAGTACCTTGACGACTACAGGATGCTTTCAATATCTAACGTGGTAACAGATTGTAGTCGGATTAATGATGAACAGAAGTACTGCTTCCACAAACGCGAGCCAGACTTTCACTATCCCAATTATTCAAATGACCGTCCCTACAACGCATCTCGCGACATATCGTTCAATTATTTACAGCACTTTCGGACTCAGTACAATCAGTGTATCCTGCTTGATTCTCAAAGACAACAAGCACACGACTGCGTATAGGTAGATTAGGGATGACAGTTTAGTAATACCTAAAAGGGCTTTTTTTTACCCTTTTAAGATTACAGTTAATAAGCCTATGGGATAGATAAGTAATCTAAAACAAAAGTCTTGATATGTTAAAACCAACCTACCTCACAGCGCGAGATCCTTTCTCAGCCGAAAAGTCACCACCCGAACCTCGCAATCCCACCATCCCAACACGCCCATAGATCCGCCCCGCCATCCCCATCTCCACTATCTATAAACTTTAGAGAACGAATCTTCGCCAGCGCTCCCTTACCTTTTGCCGTCTTACTACTGCATTTGATCTCCTTGACAGTCATGCCCGTCCATATATTACTTATTCTAATTGCTGTACCCGTAGCTGAGTCCTGGCTTGCTGCCAACAGGCCCATCCGCGGATGTACATCGATGTCAAGCTCTAGGTCATCAAGGTTGTGATGTGCGAAGCTGAGCAAAGGCTGAGACCAGTTTTTTAATGCAGTGTGGTTGAGTTTCCGGCGCTTTTTGGTGTCGCGATTTCCCGGGTACAGTGTCTTGAAGTACTGCTCGTTGTAGTGGTGGTTATCGTAGTTGAACGAGTGAGACGATGATGTTCGTGACGGGCGCGGCGAGCGGATGTCATACAAGAAGAGGCTGTCCTGGAGGCCGGAGCATATGAGTCGTGTTTCGCTATCGGCGCGCTTGAGCTTCGCGATCGGATATGGATGTGTAAGTATATGGCTCGACCCGCCTGATCGCGTGTCGTGAAGACGTATCTTGCCGTCGCGGCATCCAAGCGCAATTGTAGTATACGATATCCAGTCTAGGGAAATGATGTCGGAATTGAGTGACCTTACAGCCGTGTTCGAGTCCCATGTTCCCGTTGGTGAGCGAGTAAAGAGTAGGAGCGAGTTCGATGCCGCGACGGCAAGGTGTTCTGTATGCGTTGCCGCGACACTGTTGGCGAGTCCTGGGGACGGTGAGAAGCTCGTCGGCCTGGCTGCGGCTCCCCATATTGCGGTACATCCCTTGGGCGTAAACTGCTGCGCTACATATGGTCCGTCTCGTTCTGGGTCGCTCAAAGAGACAACAGGAGGTCGATCTGAGCCATATGTGGTGGTTGCAAGCGCCCCAGTTGCTGGCATGTAACTCAACGACGAGACAGTCGATGTAGTCCTCGTCAACTCATCCCATGGCTCGAAAGAGTACTTGTTGAGAGATAAGGAATTGAAGTAGTTGGTGGCTTCTGAGTCGTCGTAGCTCGGAAATGGTGGACCGTTTTCGGTGTGTATCCGACGTCGCTTAACTCTGTTTTCTCCATGGACTGCGTATATGGTTTTCGAATGCGGATCTTGGTCAAAATACCGGACCGAAGCATCATCCGGTCTGTCAAGAATTTGTTTTGGCCGGTTGCTGACTCCAGACATGCAAGCATCAGGCCACAGATTTTGCATGTAGAAAGATCTTCTCCTGTGACCTATTTCTCGTTCTACTTCTGTCTGAACAAGGGTGCCGACATGTCGCCGCACAACTCGTTCTTTGCGTATCTTGTCGGTGCGCGCAGTGGCAGCTCTTTGGATACGCTCATTTCTCTCTTCTTTTCGGATGTTGGCGAGTGAGTACTTCAAGTTCGAGTCCCGTGCTGCAACCTGTCCTTGGATTCGGAAGTACTTTTTCTTCTCCGAGTCAAAGTAGAAGCCTGGTATAGGTTGTCCGTTCATGCTGGAGGTGGTCGTCACAGTCAAGACGTAGTCGTCAGTTGCGCTTGCATCAGGCTGTCAGCAATAAGCTTCTGGGCATGTTGAACGACAGGAACGCCAACATTAGTGAAGTGGTGAAGAATGTAAGATGTAACGGTGATTGGTCAAAAACACATTGGGCGTCTGCAGAGGTAGAGAATGTACGCGAGTCAAGCACAACTTTCGCCTTATCGATAACGCTGGTGCGGACTTCCGAGGTATGACGCCACTACCGAGCATCATCACTCTGACAGATGAGCGACAGAATGTATTTGCCGCCGCCATCTTCCCCTCTCTTCTCCTCCTTTCTTCCGTATCTACCCTTCACATCACTTTAAGAGCCCATGCTTCGCGTTCCTTCCCTCCTCCGAAGTACACCCAAACCGCAACTTCGCACTACAACGAAGAACACCACAAGAGTCTTTGGCAGCTCGATGCGCCTGACCCAAATCATGGCACACTTCGACAGCTCCCAGACCTCCGGCGAGCGTCATACTCTTCAATCCCTCCCAAAATCCAATGTCTTCACGCAGACCCTCCCAGCTGACGCTGCCTTCCCCACGCCAAAAGATTCGCACAATGCGCCGCGGCAAACCCTCGGCCCACGCATGGTAAAAGAAGCACTGTTCACATATGTGCGACCAGACCCTCAAGGTGAATCCGAACTGCTCGCCGTCAGTCAGCGCGCTTTACAAGACATTGGGCTGAAGGACGAAGAGGCCGAGACCCAGGAGTTTAAAGATGTTGTGGCAGGAAGAACGATATCAACGTGGAATGAGGAACGGCCGGACGAAGGCATATATCCATGGGCGCAGTGTTATGGCGGGTACCAGTTTGGACAATGGGCCGGTCAGCTTGGTGACGGGCGGGCCATCTCCCTGTTCGAGTCTACGAATCCAGCAACGGGTACGCGCTACGAGATACAGCTCAAAGGTGCAGGGCGTACACCATATTCTCGTTTCGCCGATGGCCGAGCTGTGTTACGCTCTTCGATCAGAGAATTCGTGGTTTCCGAGTATTTGAACGCGATTGGTATACCTACGACGAGGGCGCTGGCGCTCACACTGAACAAGGGAAGCAGAATTGTGAGAGAAAGAGTGGAGCCTGGGGCGATTGTCACACGTTTTGCGCAGAGCTGGATCCGCTTCGGAACCTTCGATCTCCAGCGTACACGTGGGGACCGCAAGACATTACGAACCCTCGCAGACTACACAGCCGAGCACGTGTACGGCGGATGGGATGAGCTGCCCGGCAAACTCCCCTCTGGCGACGCGAAAGAAACCCACAACCAAACCACTACCGGCGTGGCGAAGGACACAATTGAGGGCGAAGGCCTCGAAGCAGAGAACCGTTATGTCCGTCTCTACCGCGCCATCCTACGCGCCAATGCCCTCACCGTTGCGAAATGGCAGGCCTATGGCTTCATGAATGGTGTCCTAAATACAGATAACACGTCTATACTCGGCCTCAGCATAGATTTTGGTCCCTTCGCGTTCCTCGACAGCTTCGATCCGACGTACACACCCAACCACGATGATCATATGCTACGGTACAGCTACAGAAACCAGCCGACGATAATCTGGTGGAACCTGGTACGGCTTGGCGAGGCGCTGGGTGAGTTGATGGGCGCTGGTGCGAAAGTCGACGAGGCGATATTTGTTGAAAAGGGCGTCACGGAAGAAGAAGCTGACGAGCTTGTCAAGCGTGCCGAGGGCGTTATCGACCGTTGTGGCGAGGAGTACAAGGCCGTTTTCCTCGCAGAGTACCGGCGCCTCATGACCGCGCGTCTGGGTCTTAAGACACAAAAGGACTCTGATTTCGAAGTCTTGATGTCGGAGTTACTGGACTGTCTTGAGGCTTTTGAGCTGGACTTTCACCACGCCTTCCGAAGACTATCTGCCATTAAGCTTTCGGAAGTAGAGACGGAAAATCAGAGGAAAGACGTAGCAGGCCGTTTCTTCAAGACAAATGACTCGCCGCGGCAAGAGTCCGACTCGAGGGAACGCATCGGCAAGTGGCTTGAGAAGTGGTCCGCACGCGTAAAAGAAGACTGGGGCGATAGCTCAGACGCTGAACGGCAGGACGCCATGCAAGCTGTCAACCCCAAGGTATGTTCTTCGTCCATTATGTATCTGAACTCACTAACAGCCATCTTTACAGTTTGTTCCCCGCTCCTGGATCCTTGACGAACTCATAGAACGTGTTGAAAAGAAGGATGAGCGCGACATCTTACCGCAGATCATGAAACTCAGTCTCAACCCCTTCCAAGAAAGCTGGGACTGGGATGAAAGTGAGGAAGAAAGGTTCTGTGGCGATGTTCCCAAGTACAAGGGCATGATGCAGTGTAGTTGCAGTTCGTAGGGTAATTGTTTCTAGGTTGCTAGGCTCCAGGACAAAATCAAAGGGCTGATTAGGAAGATGTACAAAGTGGTGTATACATGCATTTTCATAATGTGACATGAGATCAGTTTAGTCGACGCCACCGACCAAGTATTCTCCCACTTCCAAGTTGACAGATCTGCCAAGTGCGCGCGCATACTCCCACCCAAAATTCACTCTCCATTTTCCCCCCATCTCCAGCGCATCGTTGCTCCCCGCGCCACCCGCCCGAACCAACAACCGCATACTCGTCAGCGTAGCAATCTGCGTGTACAAATCCGCCACCTGCGGCACACTATCGACCAACAGTGCGCGGAAAATGGCAAACAACCTGTCGAGCGGGAACGGCGACGGCGTGAGCAGGTGTCTGGAAATCTTGCGGACTTTGGATCCTGTGCGTTTTGAGGACATGGAGAAGGAGGCGGCGCTGGGAGCCCGGCGCTTGTTCTTTCGCTTATCGGTGTGTTTCATGAAGTAGGTTACGTCTGTGCGTGACGGGTTGTAGGAGGCGAGGTAGGCGGCGATGAGTAGGTGCGTTGTATAATAGGGTAGGTCATGCACCGTCATCTTTGCCTGCCGTTGCTTACTTGGCGTCGCTGGTTCGGGAAGTCCACTCGCGGTGGATGTGGCTGTTTGAGAAGAGGTGGAGGCGGTATTTGGGTCGAGGATGCGGTCCAGAACCGAGTCTTCGAGCTGGAACAAGTGTCTCCTGTTCACCATCAGGCGTGAAAAGTCACGAGTTCCAAATTGTCCGGAAACAACTGGCTCGACAAAAGGTCGCCATAGTTTCATCGCACAGCTCCTAAAGCTTATAAGGTCCCTACCTGTATGCTTCGACAACGAGTCGTACACGGTGGTTAGGAAGCGATTCCATAACCATGCATCATCTTCGGCGGCGAGATCGGGCGTGTAGTCGGGGAACGTTTCTAGGGACGGAGGCGTGAGGAAGATTTTCGGTGGGTTAGCGCCGAGGATGGCGAGGAGTTGGGATCGAGTATAGGATGGGAAGTGTAGGAAGGAGATAGAAGAGGAGTGGAGGGTCGAAGGTGTGAGTGGGAGGGTCGTTGAGAGGATAAGGGAGAGGTTTGGTACCTGTTGCAAATTGTTTAGCCATGACATCTTTCATGTAGAAATATAGGGCTGTGTGAACTTACCGTCTCCCCTAGCCTCGCAAGTGCAGCAATTAACGTCCCCCCTCCCTCTCTGAGCTTATCCACCGCATCCAACACTAGCACAAACTTCCCTCGCCCCTCTAACAGGTTTCCCAGATGCACACATAGCGCACTCAGATTCTCCGTACGCGCATATGATCTCCTATCAAGCTTCTCATCGTGGAACTCTTCTAGCGCATCAACACTAGCTGCGACAATGCGCTCGAGAAGATGTCGCGCAGTTATACATTCGCGGACATTGATGATAGTATGTGATATGCTCGATAGTTGGAAGAAAGATGCAAGTATTGAGGACTTGCCCGTCGCTGTAAGACCGTAGACATCGAGGCAGGGTGGGGAGGGGAGGTGCGACTGTATATGAGTTAGCCGTGTCAATAGTTGAAAGGCTTCGGAGACCAACGCTATAGAGTGCTGCAAGATTATGAATCTGCTGGTCGCGACATTGGTACTCAGAAATGAGCTGCGCAATGATCTCATCGGGTAGCATGGTTGCGATGCTGAAGTTGAGGCCTACTAAGGGCGGGTGTTGAAGGTCGTGAAGGCGCGCTAAGATCGGCGCCGACGCGATGGCACGTGCAGTACAACGGGCTGAAGTTGATCATCCCCATACAGGACCCAGTTCGAGAGCCAGCACTTGTCAATGTAGTGGCAAAGAGCACGACAAATCCCGCTCCGATGCTCATTCTAATCACATTATATCATGATAATGTGTATTCACGGTGGCCAATCAACGACAATCTCCTCCAAGCCCGCTGCCTGTACCTACAGCACAGCCTGGCCATGCTGAGCTGAGGCTCATCAGAGGAGCCCCGCAGCTCAATAAATGGCCTTCCCCATGATGTGACCTTTCCTTTTCTCATTTCTCTGTCCCATTATTCTCACGTTAAACCACCACCAATTGATAGAAGAAGACTGTATATTCCAGCGTATCGTCACCCCTCGAGCTCTCTGTTTATTCCAGGCCCGGCTTCGATTGCACGTACGGCGCTCCTTCTCGTAGTCGTCACCCTCGCCCTCAAAGTTAAGGACCCAACTTCAAACGCCCTACATTAGAATTCTTGACTTGCCCTGCGATACCGAGGACGATCGACTACTATCCCAGATGCAAGCATGATGGATGGCCTAAGTGGCGCCGCAAGCATATTCGCTATTCTTCAGTTGTCTGACAAAGTTGTGAAATACATCAATAGTGCTGCCGGTGCTACACGCGATCGAACACAACTTCGCGACCGAGTACGAGCATGCAGTTACATCCTGTTGCAACTCAGCGATAAGGCCGACGACTCTGAGGAGGCCGAGGCCTGGTCAGCAACTATCGAAGCTCTAGCACGACCCGGCGCACCTCTACACCGTCTTTATGGGGCTCTGAGCCTGGTGGCAGTAAAGCTCCAAACAAAAGATAACATCACGAGAGCGTTGAAATGGCCATTTCAGGAGAAAGACGTACGCAAGCTCATTGAGCTGATCGAACAAGAAAAGAGTCTACTGAATTTGGCACTTGGAAACAGTGCTGGAAGACTTCTTCACGAGATGAAAGCTCGCTCCAAAGAAAACAGCCAGCAGCTCGTAGAGCTGACACGACTTGTAGCGAAAGGTTCACATGACAATGAAAGCAGTTTTCAAGAGGTGAACAATAGATTGTTTACGATCCATGCAACACAAAGCGGCATGTTCACCGGCATCCACGATTTATACGAGCGTCAGAACGACCATGAAGCTACCCAATCACGCCGGTTTATCCTTGAGTGGCTTACACCGGTCGATTACCCTTCACAGCAGCAAGACGCCATTATTAAGCGACAGGAAGAGCAGACAATCGAGAACATCCTCGCAGGGTTGCTAAAACAACTTGCTGAAGGACAGACTCCGCTACCGAAGTCTGTGAGGGATCTCTATGACCAGCACGGAAAGGGCCAAAGACGACCTTCACTGATGGCCATTTCAAAAGTCTACAACTTGTAACGGCAACTTATGCGAAGGTCTTCATTCTTGTAGACGCCCTCGATGAGTGTCGATCCACTGATGGCTGCAGGACATATCTACTATCAACGATTATCGAGCTTCAGCAGCAATGCAAAATCAATCTTCTAGCAACTTCGCGGTTCATTCCTGAGATCACAAAAAGTTTTGATGGTACTCAAACTCTTGAAATCCGAGCAAGCAATGACGATGTGAGAATATACCTCCAGGGACACATGCTACGACTACCTAAATTTGTTCAACGAAATACAAAATTACAAGAGGACATCAAGCAAAGGATTGTTGATTCTGTTGACGGGATGTTCGTCTTCCTAGCCTAGTTCTGTAGCATGACGCTAAAGCTCTTCTAGGTTTCTACTGGCTCATCTCCATTTCGACTCCCTAGTCGGCAAGAAAACAGCAAAGGCCGTCCGGACCGCTCTGGAGACGTTTATTACAGGATCAGGAGCTTATGATTCAGCGTATAGAGCCGCAATGCAGCGAATCGAAGGGCAAGTCACGGATCAAGAAGAACTGGCAAAGCAGGCTCTGGCATGGATCACATGCGCAAGACGTCCTTTATCTACATTGGAGCTCCAAGAAGCACTGGGTGTAGAAATCGGCGAGCTCGAACTTGACCCGGAAACTTCCCAGATATTGGAGACATTGTCTCAGCATGTGCTGGGCTAATTACGGTCGACGAAGAAAGCGATATCATCCGTCTAGTCCACTATACCACACAAGAATATTTCGAACGAACGCAGCAACATTGGTTTCCGGATGCACAGATCATGTTAACGAATGTCTACACTACGTATCTCTCTTTCGAAGGCGTAGAGAAAATTCTTGCATCAAGGAAAGAGAGGCTCAAATTTTTAGATGCGAATAAGCTGTATGCATACGCTGCAGGGAATTGGGGAAATCATGCTCGCATAGCTTCATCGGGCTATACGCAAGTCAATCCGCAGGTAATGGACTTTCTCGAACGACCATTCAAAGTGGAAGCATCTACTGTAGCGTTATGGCAGTCTAGCGCAGAAAGGTATACTGGGGGCGTCCCCGACAGTCTTCTATATTTACCTAACGAGTGACTTTAAAGCGTAGGAAAACAGCCACCACACGACACCACCTTGAGTATCAAATGTATGCGCCGGAGTGTTGGACCCGGCTCATAACACGACACCCATCACAATCTCCATCTTCTCGCAGCTCCGCTTGCAAATCCGTTCATCTCTATCCACTTCTGAACTATGTACGTGCCCCTCAAAGTACCTTGTACGAGCGAATGGCCTGCGCAATACACCCAGGAACCTTGGGGTCGCGAGGCGCAATATCAAAATGATTTCCGCTCTCCTCATCCGCAGAGCAAGGAAGCGCGTAGAAGCGCACTGAAAACGTACACACACATTAGCAAAATCACAGAGATAGAGATCAAGGACTAGTCTGAAAAAAAACTTACGAGTCCTCGTCAGCGAGCTTTCGTTGAAGAACGTGCTCTGGAACGGGCCAACAGTCACATCCTGACAGACGCCAACGGGCACGTCCTGGAGGAACACAGTGTCTTCAGCCCAGGGCTCCTGGCATCCGCCGTTGTTGTAGAATGTAGCGCGGATACGGGGAGCACCCTGGCGGGCTTCGAGGTCGAGGGGTGTTGCGCCGACGGTTGGGGCCGTGGCGAAGAAGGCGGCGGCGGCGGCGGCGAGGGTGATGAGCTGCATTTTGTGATAGAGGGAGTAATGAATTGTGAACGTAAAGGTCCAAGATTGTGTAGGAAGTTGACTGGTTTGATGGAGTGAGATAGAAGGCGTTGATGTCTGTGGTTCCTTTCAAGATGACCGACATATCGGTGTGCTTTATACATGTGCTACACGCAATCAAGCTTGTCAGTCGTCGATTCCTAATGTTACTATTACGTACCACGATATCAAATGCTCGAGCAGTTTTGTCAGTCTGTGAGATGATCATGTTGGTGGCTGCTCTCTTTTGCCCCTGAAATGTAGGTGATAGAAGGTCACATTCAGTTCTACTGTGGAGTCTGAGGTCAGCAGTTGCATGTATTTGTGTAGAACTATGAAGTCAATTGGTGCTTTGGGGGTATATATGGCGGTTTAATAATACGCCTTTTTGATTTTTGTCATCACCGCTAGACTCTGAACTATCTTGTGCTGACATGGTGATTTTTTCTGCGTCCTAGCTTGAACAGGCCCTTTCTACTATTATGGAATGGTACACATAACCTCCTAGCAGTTTGATACTCTGGGACCTGTTGATATGATGGTATTGAAAGCGTTTTCCCAAATGGATTCTTTAATGTGAGATTTGATATGAGATTTGATATACGGCATCTTTCCTAGCATGGCGGCACCATTAAATTGTCCACCAACACAGAAATCCAACAAAAAAAAATCATTCGTAGAAGTAAAACTCACAACAAACGTGACGTGCACAGCCTGCATTCTAGAACCAGTCAAATGTCATACTTGGACGCGAGTAATTCATCAGCTGACGCACATCCTTCTTCTATTCGCCCTTGCATGCTTCCATGCTTCCATGCGTCGCTGAAAGTCTGATTCGGCTCTACGTCTTTCTCCAGTTTTCTAAGCCGAGAGTTGGCATTGCTGACTGCAAAAACACTACAACCAATAGTGTCTCCACAGTGGTAAAACTTGACATGCGTATGACACTGCGTTCACGCACGTACGGCCCGTCTCACGCTCGCTGCCTGGAAGAATTGTTGAGTAAGCTGACCCCCACACGCACCCCCCTATTGAGTCCTCGGGTTCTACCCTTCTAGAACTAGGAAGGGCGGATATAATAGTTATCCAACACTAGGGACACTAGGGACTTGATCTGAGTATGTGTGACGTGAAATGTTTTGCATTGAACCTATTCGTACATAGCCTATTCCCTGCAGCCGGTCCCAGTGTACCCAACTCAACATGTAATCCAATGCGCCATGTCAATGCTGTTTATCCAATGTAGTCAAGCCTGTCCACCCATAACTAAACATGCAATGTCTCATTGATGCTCGCGCCCGTTCCCGCATCCTTTCCTTCCTCGTTGAACTCCCATGCCAAGAATTTCCAGTTGAGCTCACTTGGTCGCCAGAATAAACCATGTTTCAGTCCGCTCTCGGGGAAAGGGAGGTCTCCTACACCGTCGGATGTCATGCCTCCGGTACGCGGCATCCGTTTCGCGAAGACGCAGCGGCGAAATCGAGAATGCAGGATCGCCATTGAACACATGACGCAGGGCTCGTTCGTTAGGTAGATGTCCAGGTCGACGCACAGATAGCCGCTCGATGTAATGTTGTCCTTTTCGTAGTACTTCTTCTCCACTTCTGTCAGCGGACTATCGCAGAAGAGCGAGCGATCCAGGTATGCAGGGTCTGTGCCTCCAACGCGGAGTCGTTTCTTGGCCACCATGGCAATGGCGCGGTGAACGGCGTGGGCCATGACGTTGCCGGTGCCAGTGTGTAGTTCTGAAGTGCCAGTAGGTGATCGCCAGCGGCAGTCGCCTGCAACAGCAATGATCTCGGGCCCATTCTTGGTTCGATCTACGACGACAACACCGATCTGCTCACCCAGGCACTGAGCTGAGATCTGTTTACCAGCCGTGTTCGCAAGCGCAAGCCAGGTGCCAGCTTCACCCTCGATCTCATCCGTGTTGCGTTGAACGAGGCTTGGATGCGGCCCGTATGGATTCGTGTTCTTGTACGAGATGGGCCAGTAGTCGTCGCTCCACTGGGCAGCCTGTTCGGCAGATATGGGGGCCAGCGAGGGGACCATCACGTAGAAAATGCGCGGCGGCACCGTCTTGCCATCAAAAGGCGGGCATTGGCGAATAATGCTGAAGAGATCGGCATGCTGAATGTATCGCGTGGGACAGAGGAGGAAGTAGCGCACTAGATCCAAATCTTCAGTAACGTCGTCACCAGCAGTGGCCTCACTGCCATCATCGACCGGAGACGAGGACAGGAGAGATGGGGAAGAGGGCAAGGCTGCAGGAGATGTAGATAATGATGCTGTGGAGGCAGGACTATCTTCATCACCTCTCGGAAGCCTCGCGGGCGGATAGAACTGCTTTTGCAGGTGCGGTGGCAGGTACTTGAACTGCACCACGCGCCGCAGGTGAGAGATTTCGGATGTCTTGAAGTCGGGGATTGCTGCTTGAACCACACTGCAAGGTTAGCAAGAGATCAAACAATTGTACCAGGAGTGAGCAGCTCACTCCTTGACAACGTTGGCAAATTTGGCGGGGACCTCGACCACGTAAACGCTGTGGGTTTCTAGGCTGGCGCGCACTTCGTCCTTGGTCCGCAGGGGGACCAGGCTCCCGACGAGCGGTGCTGGTGCGCTCATAGCATCGTCTGAAGGCCGTGACACTATGCTGGGATGCGTCGGTGCTATGGCGGTGAGGTGATGCTAAGTGGTGAAGTGGTGAAGCAGTGGGCTGCGCAAACACAACAAAAGTTCCAAGCTTCGCCGGGTCGGTCCTTCATTGCACCGAGCGTGCCTTCCTCATCGTCTCCTCCTCGACTTCGCGCCTCCTCTCCACCGACAATTCATCAGCTGCAGGTACTCTGGAGAGCACAACATGGTCGATGGCATCTACGTAGGAGGAGAAGGAGGAAGGCTGCACTCTTCATCTTCGGTTATTGCGACCCCGAGTCGGTTCAAAGCTTCTGCACATGCACAGCACGGATCGCCATTCCTGCAGCGACTGGGGCTCCCCGCATCGCATACCGGGAATCATCATCCAGACGAGGCTGGCCACCACCACCATGACCCCGGATTCTCTCAACTGCCGATATGCAGGCGTAAATCGCTACCCCGCTAGTACCCTGTTATGTAGAAATTGAGGCTAAAACAATTGCATCCTTCCCTCCATCTCTACATAGACAGCTCCGTCTATCCTACTGTTCAGTTGTGTTGTCTCCTCTTCGTTGCGTTACAATCCAGGGCACCCAACTATGAGTTCCAAACCAGAGGTCACCCATATCGATGAGACCCACGAAGCGTCTCGTCACAAGCACTTAGACACGGGAGCCTACGTTGTACCCATCGAGGTGGAAGCGGCGGAGGATTTCAAGCATGTCAATCTGTCATGGAGATCATGGATCGTAGTTTTCGTGACTTGCTTTGCGTAAGATGACCAAGCCCACCCCGGACGTGCTATGACTGACATCCCATCTAGCGTCATGTCCCAGGTCTTTGTCGTAGTGGCAGCAGGCTCTGTCCTGTCCTTCATCATTCGCGATCTTGGCGAGCCTGCCATCGCTAGTTGGGTCATTCAGGTACCGCCCTTTCTGGCACCAACCACGCGTACAATATAATAACCACCTATAGGGTCCGCTTCTCATGCAATCGGTCTTGTCACCCCTCGTTGGTCGGCTCTCTGATGTACTCGACCGCAAGCTATTTGCGGCAATTCCTCCGCTCATTGCCTGTGTTGGTAGTATCATCTGTGCGAAAGCTACGTCGATGAGCATGCTCATCGGTGGCGGTATCTTGATTGGCGTGACTCTTGCAACCATCTCCATTGTGCAGTCAATACCTTCGGAAATCTTGCCTCTCAAATATCGAGCTCTAGCGAACGGGTTTTCAGGCGCGGCAGGTGTCATAGGCGGTCTGTACGTACACATAGCTTCCCTTTACTATATAGCTTTGAAATAAGCTAACATAACTCCAGTATAGGCGGGCTTGCAGCTGGCGGTGTGGCCAACATCAACGCTTCGGGTTGGCGCTACATCTTCTGGATTCAGGTTGGCCTCCACGGCCTTACATCGCTCGGCATCTTCACCTTCTACTGGCCAAAGAAACGCACCGATTTCCCAAGAATGACCTTTAAAGAGTGGACTTGGGCTTGCGATCCCATCGGCTCGTCCCTTCTCATTGCTAGTGCGACATTGATGCTCCTAGCTCTCAATTGGGCTGGCGGTGCATACAAGTGGAGCAATCCACATGTATGCGCCAACCTCGTCATTGGGGTCGTTCTTTTCATTGCTTTCGGTCTATATGGTAGGCATCCCTACTTGCGTTTACTAAGTACATGCGCTGAATCTAGACAGAATGGAAAGGAAGGTCAGATGGAATTGTTGCGCACGTCTTCTTCAGCACTGGGCCCAACTTCTGGCTTTCGACATTTGCTTTTGCTATCGAAGGGTAGGTTCATCATGAACCGCATATGCCTGAATGAAGAATCTGACATGTGTCACAGCTGGATCTACTACTCAGCCGTCAACTCTGTCACGCCACAAATCATACTCAACTTAGGATTCGAAGACAATGCTTGGGACATTGCGATCCGGCAGCTATCTTACAAGCTTCCATCGCTAGTCACTTCATTGGCGGTCACATGGTACGCGACCAAGCTCAAAGATCTGAGTAAGACTGTCCCCCTCCGCCCGCATTACCCAATTAACTTCCCCATCAGAAACGCCACTGGTTTTCACATACGGCATAATGCTCATAGCAGCGATATGCTACGCCTGTATTCGCCCGAGCTGGTCCACACCGCAAATCGTCTTCACAGTCATGACAGGTATCGGTTGCGCCGGCCCGCTTACCCTACTCGTCGCGTGCGTCCAGTTCACAGCACCCCATGCTTTCCTCTCCACCGCGACTGGCCTAGCATTCTCTGCTCGAGCCATCGGTGGCGCTTTCGGCACCGCAGTCATCTACGCCATTGTCAACTCTCGCGTGGCTTCGCACTACGCGACTGATGTCGGTTCTGCGGCGGTAGCAGCAGGCCTACCTCGGTCGTCTATCCCTGCATTACTAAAGGCAATGAAGGGAAGCACTGCGACCAAAGCAAGGGGACAAGGTGTACCGGGCGCGAACGCCGCTATCATGAAAGCAGCTTGGAGCGCGAGCTACTGGTCCTATGCTAAAGCGTATCGGCTGGGGTGGTGGAGCGTGGTTCCTTTTGTAGCGCTAGCGACAATCAGCGTGGCGTGTATGACGGGTGTTAAGGAGTTGATGACGGAGAAGGTGGAAGCTACGGTTGAGCGTGAGAGTGGCGATGATGTGGAAGGGAAAAAGTTGGATACATTGCGTTAACTTGCTGGCTAATCAAAGGATGTATCGTTAACACATATCTCCGGCGAACTTAGTAGGCACGATCTACTCCTGCATGTTCACCTTCTTCACTGAATCCACCATCTCCTTGAATCTACTCCTTAGCTCCCCCTTCCCACTCCTCCTCTTCAATCCAAACCCCTGCTTACCTCTAAGTGCATCCAAGCGATCCCACTGCTCAACCCAGTCGATTCCGCGGGGAGGCGCAGGTTTGCGTCTGACCAAGGGCGGCAGATTGGGAGCGATATACCTCGATGAGCTCATGCACGGTAAGTGTGTTGCTGGTGGCGCGTCGTATGATATGGTTCTTGATAGTGGATTAGTAGATTGTGGGGTTATTAGCGGTATACTCGGTAGTATAAGCTGTGACATTGCTGGGGGTAGTGCGATTGGTGCTGAACCTTGGCTTGGCGATGTGGCTGTAGTAGACAAGGCTGATGACGGACTCGTTGGCCGTACGCTTGTGAGTGGTGTATTCTGCTCCGAGGATGGTATATTTGAAGACGCTAGCGCCAGTCTTTCGAGGCATTCAGCGATTAAGTTTTGAGTTGAAAGCTCCACTGATGAAGAAGGCACGTGTTGTAACCACGTGTTGATTAAGGTCTTTGTCCGAACAGCTTCAATGTCTTCGTACTTCTCCGCTTTCAAGAGGTATGGTGCTGGCTGGAAGGCATTTGGAGGCGGAAGTGGTATTGTCGGGCTTGGAAGTAGCATGGGGAGAGGAGGTAGAGGCTTCTCTGATTTTGCATGTGGTTTTCTAGAACTGGAACTTCTCTGGAAGCCGTGGACTTCTCGAGACCAAGCTGCAGAACCGAAGTATTGGATATCAGGTGCGTACTCTCTTTCTAGACGAGACACTGAACACTGTGTTTCCACAGGTATATCCTCGCTGGTCAGCACTTCGGGTTGAGATTCCTCACTAGTGCGTGCTTCGCTCATGGTGCCCAAGTAATAAGAAGCCATGGACTTCAAGTCAGGATCCTCATCTGCACTCCAAGGGGTCTTTTTCATACTTCCGTTTCTATAGTGTCGCTGTTCCTTCTGCTCTTTCATACTTCTATAACACTTCCCTTCTTCATGAACATGATACTCACAACGGTCCGTACCAGTCACATCTTCAACGCAGCCCCTCAGCATTCCCACCATCTTCCTTTCGACGGCAAACATTTCGTCTATAGCGAATCTCTTCAGAACACTCGATGCGCCATTGTCCACGAAGATGACCTCCAGAACCTTCCCGTCAGGTGTCTGCGCAGAGTCAAGTCGTCGAGCTATCTCGTCGATGATGTAGTCTTGGAACTCCACTTCTTTTAGTTGCGAGCCGACAATGTGTGCATATAACAAGTCGATGCAGTCGCGCAGGAGTAAGCCTGAACTGACGGACGATGTGCAGCGAAAGGGATAAGTGACTCTTTTAGTGCTGAGCCATTCGATGAATAGGTTGAAGCCTACTGGATCAACATTGCGCAATTCAATTGCAGTTGTCGATCGGCCGGTCGATGCATGTTGCCCAATAAGCGTTCGAAGGTATTGTGAGCGAGTTGCAGTGGTGAGAGCCACAGTGACGTTCTCGCCGGGTAGGTGCTCTGATAGTGTAGTTCGACCAGCGAGTACGAAGATAATTTCTGTCGGATTTGTCGATTTAACAACTTGACGCTCCATATCCATTTCGAAGGCCGATCTCAGGCTTGATTTTCAGTATCTGTGGATTCATGCTAGAGGGTTTTGGAAAAACTGGCCCAACATTGAATAGGTTAGTTTAACATTCGAGTTGGCGTGAAGTTCTCCGGCCTTCTTCGGTCATCGTTGTTGACATGAAGTATTACACTGACATTGACACATATCAACTTCTATGTCACATATACGCCACTCACATATACGCCACATCATGACTTACTTGCAAACACATCATCACCTTAGCATTCACGTCGCTCAAGCTTAAATTCATTGTGGATGCACTTTACCGACCCATTTTCCTTACAAGAACCCGCGTCAAAGCTACTACTTCTTGATATAAGTTTAAATGTTCTGAGACATTGGATTTACCCATCGCGACATCACTCTTGATCCAGGCTTTCTCGTGTCAGTTATCTTTTCTCTACATTGATATCTAGACGATCGATCAAGTCATGCCCATTCACTTCTTCAAATCCAAGAAATCGTCAGCGCCGAAAGGTAACACCATAAAGAAAGCAGAACCCCTCAACGGCCGCCCGTCAGCGCCAACAACTCAACAAAGTAGCTTTCCAGGCATCGATAAGTATGGATTCGTTCTTGGCAACAATCCCAAAACCTCTGATACACGGAATGACAAGGGCAAAGAGGTGCCTGGTAGGAATGGCAACAGGAAGCAAAAGGACCTTGTGACCGCAAACGAGTGGATCAAAGAGGGCTTTTCTAAGAAGCAAAAGAGACCTGGCCGTAGGATAAGTGTACTAACTAGAACGCTGGCGGATCCATATCATGCGATTCTTGTGAATGGAGCGACCCTAGAGGCGAACGACAATGCGATCATCACCGAACTTGAAAACACCGAAGCTCCATCTATATCTGCAAATGCCACGGTCTCTGAGTCATCCAAAGATAGCAAGACTCAGCAGCAGGTGCAGCCGCCGATGCTGGACCTTTTGCTTGGCCGCCAAGATCCCTCCTCTCGCTATTTCACACGTCGGTTAGTACGCATACCAGACTCTGACAATGGCGCTCCTTCGATCTCCTCTTCCCTTTTCCCAGGGCGTGCTTCCGAAAATGTATCGCCGCTCCAGCTCATTGATTACGACCCACATGCCTTTGAGCTATACAAAATCTGGTCACATACTGGCACTCTCCCTACCCACTGTCGAGAAATATGGTATACATTGAGCGACCGAAACCAAAAGCATACGTGGCGGAGCTGTTGGTTGCTAATGAATGCAGTGATCCTGGGTAGTACAATCGGCGAACCGGACTTTACCGACCGTGTCATGGACTTGCTTGAGGAGAGGGTAGGAAACGGCGTATGTGCTGACAAGGATACAATCGCGCACATATTCACCGAAAGAGATGATGATATTCCGGAGGTACTGAAGCGATTTGTTGTCGATCGGTGTATTGCAGCTGGCTTCGAAAGCTTCAATGACTTGGACAAACCCAATTTGCCGTCTTCTTTCATCAATCTTGCGCTCGAAACAGCGTTGCGACGTCTATCACATGCCGGTCAAGTATCGCTGGTACCAGGATGTGAATATCACACTCACGATACTCTAGAGAGCTGCTACATGAGAAAACTTACATCATCAGAAGTCAGGAGGATGGGCCAATTGAAACTACAACGTAGCATGTCACATAAAAGATCTGGGGCGATGGCGACGAATTCTTGGCAAGATAACATAAAAAGAATCGACTGGGAACAGCGTAGAGCGGGAATAACCCGAGTTGTGAAGGATCAGGTTAGAAAGACTGGAGGAACTCAATGCGGCTTCAACGGGTCAGACAACAGGGGATCAGGACTCGATACTACTGACAAGACGACCACAAGAAATGGGACTAGTCCACCCAAAGGGAATGCTGTTCCAGACGTTGAACCGGAGGCGCTTCCAGTCATCAGAGATATTCGTAACGACGAAAGCTAGCGACGTGGTTGACAAGATCAAAAGTGAGCCTCCGACTCGCGCACCACCACCACCGCCTAGCGTTATCGAATTGCAAGGTAGCGTAGCGCACGTCATGCTTCCTTTGGATAAAGAGACAGCTTTTCAGGAGGATACAGTGAGACAAACCAATGGTCTACCGGCACCTTCCTTAACCACATGCGGCTCTAACTCACCCCATCTGAGTACAAGGAGTATTCAGTCGAAGCCGGACACTGGAGAGCTTGCGGATTTGGGTTCGGAGTTCGATTTCAATAAGTGTACGACATGCCCTGGTGCATTTCCGGAGTCACGTGTTGGAAGCTTGAAAACTGCTTCTCACCCCGAAGAAATGTTGGGGAACAGTTGCGCCAGTGCATGAAGTTGGGTTGAACGGTTGTTATTTGAGATTAGAGAGCTAGAGCGATGATGGTTTGACCGAGTGGCTGTTGCTTGATTGAAGAATCAGATAGACCTGTTTACTTGCTTTGCCTCTTCTCAGAAGATTGCGGTGCCGTTTACATGTGAGCCCACACCACCTGTAGGGGGAACCATTAGTAAAAGTGCGTACTACTATAACACCTAAACTTACCGGGACAGTTTGCCGGCGCTGAAGAGAAGAAAAAGAACCACCTGTTCTTCTCGTGACATGTTTGCGCCAGCTTCTCAAGATCAAGCATCTCACCCAGAGGCATACCCCACAGTGAAAGGATGTACTCATGGAGGTGATAATCTGCGGACATTAGCCAAGGGTATCACAGGCAAGTATTGGCGGGAACTTACCTTCATGCGTAGGCCACGCTTCAAATGCAGGAGCATCGCCTGCTACCGAAGCGAAGTAACTGTCATGCAACCAATCAAGAATTTTCTGCTCTTGACTCAGTCCAGCATACCTGAGCCCGTCTTCACCATCCTTCCCTGTGCCGTGTCTGAGGGCAGCCTTTGACCTATCTTCATCACTCTTACCATCGTATGCCTCTTTCCACCCGCTCCTGATGAACAACATGTCACCGGGTTTAATGTCGCCACCTTGAGCCGCAGGCCGGATGTCGATACCTTGATCCTTACCGCATTGGTACAGCTCCTCCCAAGAAATAGGATAATAGTCAAATGGGTCGTAGTTAATGCCTTTCTTGTGAGCGTAGCCTCTGTAGTCAAGCAAGACACCTCGTCCAGCGATCCCATGTTCAGCCCAGTGGTGAATCGAGCATTTGTGGTTTGCAGTGGGGCCAGTGATGTCGCTGCCTTTAGTCTACACTAATGTAAGTAAGCAATCACGAGTAGTGGAGAGATACTCACGCCATTGTAGAAAGATCCACTTGGTATGTGAGCAAAATGTCGGAATCCATCCCACTGAGTTCCACTCTGCGTGTTCAGAGAGTACAGATCGTCATATACAACGCCTTCAGCTAGGGTCTTAATCTCATGTTTGAACGTCTCGCGTCCAAATGCTGGCTGATTGGGAACATTGAGAGGAAGACTGATGAAAAGTTAGAAACAATGAAACGTGCGCGTCGACAGAAAATGTACTTCACGGGCACAATCTCGCCGGACCTAATCTCTTTGGCTGCCGCAGCCACACGAGTAGGCGTAAGCAAGTTCAGACGGCCGATCTATAACTTGATCAATACAGCACCTCCGCGATTCAAGTTTGTGACAGATTTACGTAGTCATTTTCGCCCCAGACCCAAGCCGCCTCTGCAGGTGCGCCTGGAATGTTGGGAAGCTCTTTCCGCGTGGGAAAGATGGTGCTATTCGGATCCCAAGGAATTGTTGTTGCAGTCTTGTTCATCGTCAAGAAGTCCTTGATTTGCGTCAAGCGCTGGCTCGCGGTATTCTTCGGCTCTGTCATCCTGATTTTGTTCTTGTAGCAAGGCGATGTCAAATGTCGGGTTGAGGTCTGGTTCTTCCCCTGAGAGCACAAAATACAGCCCACAATATAGTCCGACTACCCCGCGACCAGTGCATACGCCATGACGACGGCGCCGCGGCACCGCCCAGGTGTGGGGTTGTTGCTATACCGCATTAGTCTGACTATCGTGAGATGACTCGTTAGTCCATCACGCATCAACCCTACTTGCGTCATGAAGCTCCGCGGTATTGCTCAATCTGTGATACGGCATGCAGAAAACGATGAATTGAAGATGGAGGGGAGGGGGTGTTGCAGCGGTCCGATGACGTAATCTTCCTCGGTTGAATCAGCACTCATCTTTCCTCGCAACGCGTATAGCCGTTATGACCGATATCCTTCATTACGCTCTTTGACTCTATATGGGGTTTGTCATTCAATCGAATTATGTCTCTAGTGTGTCGGGAAATTAGCACGCTCTAATGCTTCTTACTGCCTGGACAACTTACGCGTAATTCAATAGATTTCATTACAACACATGCATCTGGGTTGCTTGAAGTCACCAGGAAGCTGCGTGTAAATAGCTCGCTATATCTCAGCGTGTCACATGGGAAGGTAGAAACACAGAAGTAAAACAAACAATTGTGTGAAGCGTTCATAGGAGCCTGGTGGTGTTGTGTGGCAGTAAAAGGGTAAACTTCTTTATAGACAACTAGAGAGCGTTCTATCCTATACGATATATCCGCGATTCCTTATGTACATAACATGAATGGATCCAGTGTGTGGTTGAAGATGTCAGTAAGAAGGGGAAGGTATCAATCTCAACTTACATAAGCCACCTAGTGCAAATCACGAAACGGACACGCTAGCTCAACCCGATATACCTAGGACCCGAACGATCTATACACAGCCCTACATCTATTTCTTCCGCTACTCTCTACTCCTGCTGGAAGTGAAGAACTCGTTTCCCCACAGCCCTCGGTTCGTATGATACCACGTTTGCGACGTTTAGTCAAGCTATTTCTCATCTTACCGCTCTTTTTGCTGGTCTTTCGTCTTGTATATACCGGACGGCAGTCGCCAACAGTAGTTTCGATGGTTGCTGCGCCCACTCCCAATGAAGTCGCGACCGTGCTTCTAGCTAAGAAGGGCTTGAAGTTGCAGTCGCTGGAAACCATACAGTCTTTGTGGGCTGGCTACGGCCAAATTTGTCGCATCACAGCTACTCCGGATAGCTCACTGAACTCTTCTACTGACTCTTCACGGTCGGTATCCGCGGAAAGCTCTAATGTGTCAACGCCCCAAGAATCACAATCTTACATCCTAAAGCTCATCACACCTCCGCCGACAAAAGCCGATGATGAAGGACACACAAGGAAGATTCTCAGTTACCAAGTGGAACAATATTTTTACAGCCAGCTTGCACCTCAGCTACCGGCCTCCATACCAGTTGCATCGTGCTTAGCGAGCATCAACCAGCATCATGCAGACGGCACATCAACAACGGCCATGCTCATGAGCGACTTGAGGCAACACTATCCCGTCGCAGGAGAAAAGCGTGATGTGTTATCACCAATTCAAGTTAACGCTGCGCTTGATTGGCTTTCCGGCTTTCATGGCTTCTGGTGGCCGCACGTCAGGCACATGAACCGCCAATCCCTCGTACTACCGCCGCTGGAAGAAGTCCAACGTGGTGGTCACGATGCCTCTGGAAAGACTGTCTGGATCAATGGCGGCTATACCTACCTCGCAACGCGCCGAGGAGAGTACTCCAATCTCGCAAAGGACTACGACTCTGAATGGAACGAACCTCTGACCGATTGGGTCGATGGCGAAGACGTCTCCATCTCTGAAATAGCAGCTGCATTTCTCGCGCCCAAGGTGTCTGGCTGGTCGCCTATTGATGGTTATCAAACGCTCATTCACGGTGATGTTAAATCTGAAAATCTATTCACTAGTAGAAATGGCGAACAGTTGGCGTTCTACGACTTCCAGTATACTGGGCTTGGCTTGGGAGTTTGCGATCTAGCAAAGCTTTTTACCTGTTCCGTGCCTTTGGATCTGCTTGTCTCGGGTCAGCCTATATCACGCGAACTTAAGATGCAAGAAGGCGAGAGGCAACTACTAGAAAGGTATTGGAAGAGGCTAAGAGACGTCGGAAGACAGGAATACAAATGGAATATATTCCTACGACATTGGGAGACTGCACTAGTTGATTGGCTACGATTTCAAGCTAGCTGGGGCTTTTGGGGCAACACAGTTTGGCTAGAATCAAGGGTTCGCAGCATCTTGAAGGATCAGGAGTGGAGGGATGCATTGATCAGCAATGTGAACAAGGCAGACATATCACGATAAGAGTTAGGAAGATCACGGGGCTATATCTGTTGTGATTTAGATCCAAGCCTCTCCATCCTTGTACTCGTCAAGTGCGTTGTCTTCCAGCAAATCATCCAGCAGTGCCGCGACCTTCGCGTTGTCCATGTCCGCGAATGGGATATGTGTGCTCCCCTTCAATCCTGCATCTTCACTCAGCTTCAGCACTTGCGCATTGCCGCCGTACTGATTGATCAACTTCGCCGCAAGTCTCGACTCGATGACAGACGTGAAGTTCTCCGATCGATGATCCCCCCAAACGAATTGTATCGCTGTGAGTTTAGCCAACTTCTTAAAGCGCTCAAGTGGCACAATGAATGGCCCAAATCCGCCTCTGCCTGCGGTTATGTTGACATTATCTGGGAAGACGTAACCGATACTCTCGTATGTGACGATGCCCTTGATATTCGTCCCGTTCGCCTTGGTAGCCGTCATCATAGCCCGTAATCCACCAGCTGAGTTCGTCAAATACACAATGTCCGTCCCAATCTTTCCCGAGTCTGCTGCAATAGCCGCCGCGTCAGACTGCAACTCCACATTTGCCTTTGTGTCATATTCGACATATCTTGCACTCGTAGCGTGTTTCCACGCAGCCTCATCCCTCGTCGGAAATTGTACATCATCCCACCACACTGGCCATCTCGGACCAAAATTCCAGGCTCCAAAGTTCGCTTGATCCTGATGGCTCGGCACATACGTCGTTGTCTCGCACGCCCAGTTCGCGCGACCCACTCGCGGGCCGTCCCAGAGGTAGACCGGGTAGTCTCGCCGGAGAAACATATCTTTGTAGCCCTCGCCGCCATTCCACCGGTTTTGCCAGACTTGGGTCGAGGAAGAATGCCACATTACAACGCTAGTACGCCGAGGTCGCCAAGGGATGAAGTATTCCATGTAACCATGGTCGCAAGAGAGCGTTTGGTTAGTATTCAACGGACTCGAAATGGTCTTGCCGCCAATCTGAAAGCCACCCGTTTTTGACAACGTGATCGGTCTTGTGGGAGAGTTAACATCGGTGAGCGCTAACGATGTGAGCGGAAGCAGTGCGATAGGTCTTGCGAGCTTCATATTGACCAAGTAAATACCGTACAGCCGCGGAATTGATACTGAAGATTATTTTCTTAGAAGTTCGTTGTTTTCTTTTCTTACAACATAGCCTCATAGATGTTAAGTTCTATGAAAGATGGCAACTACCGACATTAAAACACTGACAATATGTGGGTATACTCATCTTTGCTAAACGAGTAGCATTTTCATTGCGTAAATCGATTGCTAACAGAGTGATTACGGGGTGCGAGTGATTTATCCGTAATGATCCAACCTCTAGCGAGTCCTGTGTTAAACTTTTCCCAAATCTCAACCAAGGGTGCATGTAATCTATTTCCTATGAATCATCACCAATCTCACCGATGATTCTGACCTTGATTCCCTCGCTCTCCAAATCGGTCATTCCTATAAAACAGTCATGACTCGTAAGCACGTCTCTCTCCTCCACTGTATCGAATAGTTCCATCCGGAAGCTTCGCCACAACAGCGCAATACCAATGTATAGCTCCGAAGTAGCAAGGTTCATGCCTAGGCAATTGCGACTTCCCCGCCCAAAAGCAAACCAATACCGCTTGAGATTAGGGTCTTCAATCCATCGTTCTGGTCGGAACTCAAATGGCTGTGGATATATGGATGGATCCGTGTGAAGTAGGTATGCCGATTCCATAACCGGTGTTCCGCGCGGTATGCTGTATTGCTTGTATTGTAGATCTTCTTGCGTGGCGATGCGCGGTTGACGCGAGCTCACGCCATGAGCGACGCGTAGACCTTCGTTAATTATGGCAGACTTGTGATTTTGTTAGTAAATTAGAGGGATTGTTGGGTAAAACGAAAGGTACTCACGAAATACGGCAACGCCTCCAGCTGAGGTAGCGAAACCTTCTCATCTTTCGTCGGCAGCGCTCTCTTCAACTCCGCGCTCAGTTTATCCCCGATATCCGGATGCTTCAGTAAATAGAACATAGTGACCGCCAGGGTCCTTGCCGTTGTCTCTGTACCCGCGCCCAAGAGTACGCTCGCTTCTGCCATCAATCGGATCGGTTCCTTCTCCTTATCCGGTAGCTTTCCACTCATATCGTCTCTAACCTCATGGAAAACTGTCCGTTTCCGTTCCTTCTCATCATCCTTGTGATCTTCGCGCTTCATGATACGTTCGATCTTACGGAGCAGCTGTAAGTTGAATGTGTTCATCTTCTCCGCCCCTGGACTCATCTTCGCGGCAACCCAAGGTGGAAGATCAACCAGAAAGTTGACTAGTGATGGAAACTGGCGGCCTAAAGGACGCAGCCCAATACCCTGATGAAATAAATCAAGCCACTTCTTGCCATACTCGTCCTCATCTAGACTATTCATCGACTCTCCGAAGCAATAGTCAGAAATGATATCCATGGTCATGGCGGCGAAGGCATCATTCAGACTAACAACACCTGCTTCTGGTCCTTTCTTCTTCAATTCACCCTTGAATCGATCCAGCAGTTTCTCAGTAGCTTGTACAACGAGCGGTTCGAGCGCCTGCACGGATCGCTTGCTGAAGAATCCAGAGACGGCAGTGCGGCGCATCTTGTGCAGATCATGGTCCATGGCTTCAAGCATAGCACCTGACCAGGACTTCGCACCGGCATGGTGTGACCACTTACAACGGTTGCGCTTGTGGCCTATGCCAGATGCATAAATTGTGTCGAAGAAGTCCGCGTCGTGGATGTGGATTTGAAGAGGGTTGATGCGAATTATGGGGCCTTGCAATACTGTTTAGCAAGGTTTCGAATGGCAGACAAGGACACTAGTTGACATACCATATTGTTCGTGTAATTCCTTGATCTTCCAGAGATACTGGTATTTGTGGGGATAGAGTTCGTAGTAGAACTCATACCAGAAAGTGAGTGCTGCTAGCTGCATCTGGGTCAGTGGAACACTCTACTGCAATTTCAAAAGATGGAAGTTAAAGGAGGTGTACTTTTGGACCTGGGAACTTCGCTAAGGGATGGAAGTACACGCGGTAAACACCGACAACAACCCAGTAAATCAACCACGACGCCAAGGTCAAAACGATACTAAATTTGACATCTTTTGTTTCCAAATCTTGGATCCCATCTAACACCCTCTGGACTATGCTTGGAACCATGCCTTTGGTCAACTAAAGCGATCGATGCGTAGTAGAAATTGTGCATATAGCCTACGATTAACCCGGCATATATATCCAAGTCGGAGACATTCTAATAGTAAGCGGAGACTTTTGCGTGATATTTCACTCTACTCTGCGCCGATTGGTTTTGTAGGGCTGTCAGGCGAGCGTGTCAGCGAGTAGTGCTTACTTGACCCGTTGTTTGCGGCAGGGATCTTATAGTCAAAGGGACATGTCTGAAGGCTGTAGTTAGACGAATTCGAATAAGGAGATATTGCGACAAATCTCGATAGAGGATACTTCAAGCGTACAGAGTGTGTCGAAGTGCTGCAATACTATACAGCCGGATATCCTTCTTAGGCGAGCTAATTCAGTTGTCATAGATCGATGCTACACTTGATTGACACGCAAGACAAGTCTCTTATATGTTCTAATACTGACTAGTAGAGATATTATCTTTAGACATGTCTTAGGGTATGACATAATGTCACTCATCGGTAGTACTCGTGCTCGACCAGGATTGGCGCTAATGCAACATGTACCAGGCAACGTGATCTCAAACATGACATGTCCCTCAAATCACATCATTCCAGTTCGTTTGAACCTGTACTATGAATTTCAATCAATGGTGTTGCAAGCATCTGCTGTTGCTAAGGAAGTAAATCCTAGTAAATATTCTACATTCGTAATGTACCCGCACACCGTGTGGCAGTGGAAAAAACTAGATACCAATCTTCTAATCAAGTTTACGGTGGCTTTTGTCTATGTATTCTATCTCTGAGTCGGTTAACCTTTGTCTTCATTGTCACTCTCTTTATTAACTTCGCCATTGACAGAACACCGTCACGTCAAGGAACGCTAGATAATACAAAAACTGCAGCTCAATAATTGCACTATATTTCCTCCAGTCAGAATCTAGAAACATTTCCAGTTTCACTCCTTAATCAAACAACCAAAAGACCAGCCCCCATCCCTCGCTCCCCAAAAAAAGCCTTGAGAAATATCATCTAATAGACGCTATAAAAGCTCAATCTACCCATATTTCTACTGCATCTATGCGTGTGAAACCCCCAAAGAACTCAAGGAGGCCTACACGCACACTCTCCCTCAGCCGCACACTTCGTTCGCACCTGGAACGCGCTGCACGAGCCAAATGTATGGCAATTGGGAACGGCATTAATGGTGCAAGTGCATAGCCCCTCGCATTCATCATCCGTAAGGGCGTTCATACCGCAGCTGAAGTCGCCGTCGAAATTTTTGTCGCACGACCATAGGGGATGGGAAGGGGGAACCCGTTTTTCGAGAGTGGTTGGTGACGCACTTGTCATGGATAGGCTGCCGAGGAGGGCGATGAGGACGAAGGTCGGGTGCATCTTTCTGGCTAGGTAGATCAGTAAGATGTTGACTGGTTTGCGACGAAGGCATCGTCATCAGGATGAAGATGGTATGAGACTTACCTGCTGGGCGGTCAAGTGCTGGGCGGTGACTGCAACCTGTAACCCCTGAGTAGGAATCTGAGTGCTGTGCCTGTTGTTTCGGGGTCTCCATGTCTTCTTATACGTCTCGAAAGGTGCTTCCGATCTATTCGCTTGGGCAAGAGACAGTGATTCATAATAGTAAGAGAGATAAGCTTCAGCTTCACAGGCAGAAGCATTAATTTGACAAAGCAGATTTCTCAGCGGTTCCTTGCGACGCCACTCTTACTTAAACGACGAAACTAAGGTGGTACACGGCCGGTCTGTTATACAATAGGACGATAGGCCGGGTCGGGAAACCTAGACTGGGTTAGCGCTGTAGCCTTCTCTTGACTAACAGCCAGCTGCTGTCGTCAGCAACCCACGATAGGAAGGTTGAGTGATATCACGTCCGAAAAAGCAGATTATAAAGACTTTATCAACATGACTTCCGCTTAGCTGAGCTATCATGAGACCCCAGTCGTTCTTTCCAAGTGGAGGGAAATGTACCTTGTGATGTCACAGGTCAGGCTGAGGTACAAATGAGCTAGGCTTTGGGTTCTAGCTGAAGATGGGATTTCAAGGGTAGTCTTCCTAACATTAACAGTATGTAAGTTCTACAGCAATAAAACGAGCAAAATATCTACTTAAGTGGATACAAGAACCTTGAACTTCATACCAGGATCAAAGCGAAAATGACGAGAGCTGCACAAGTCCAGGCCCTTGCCTATCTAAACAATATTGTCGCGTGGCTGGCGCCTGCCGAGATCCCATTCATCCTGCGAGCATACGTCAGTCTCAAAAGACCGTATACCATTGTATGTCTTGTCGCTTGGTGGGTTCGATATCGGGTACTCGTCCAAGTTGTGCTCCAGTAGCTCTGCCTTCTGAGAGTCGACATTGTGTCGATTGCGGGCACTCAAGGTGTTCCACATTGAGCAAACTCTTGCCCACGCCCCCTTCAGTGCAATCCCTACGACGCCCTTCCCACCGAAGCAATGCTTTGTTATATCCCACGCTGCAGTAACGCCAGGTCTAAGGAATTTGCACCAGATAATAAGAATAACGAAACCGGCGCAGCAAGCGAGAGGGAGCCCTAGAATCAGGCCAGCACCCATTCCCCACAGTATGATCTCGAGTATCGGGAACGTATGTTGCATCCTGGTCTCGACGAAGTCCAAGATCGCCGGTGGAATGCTTGCGCCATGCATAAAGTACCCTATGTGCCCAAGCGTCACGCCGAGCTTCTCGACTTCCCGCACAGCGCCGTGGTACTGGCATGTCCTGCCGATCCAGCCATATTTCAACGACACCGGGTCCTCGATGTACTTCAACATCACTCTCTCCCCTTCAAGTAGTAGCCCTGGGATGATTTTGCTCGTGCAATGACCCTTCGGACATCCGTGAGATGCAGTGGCGTTGTTGAAGAGGGCTGTTCGGATCGTCTTTGGGTACATGATATCCCAAAATGAACTAATGTAAAACAGGGCATGTTTGCCGTTGTTATCATGAGCTAGTGTACCGTTTAGGTGCACCACACTGAAGTAAACCCGGTTTATATATTTCGGTTTGCAGGGGATATGAAGAATGCTATCGAGGCCGGTCCCATCTTCTTCTTCTTCTTCAGATCCGAGGCTTTCGGAATCAGGAGACCATCCGTCTGCACGTTTGGCATTTCGGGAATGGGCAGTTCGAGTTGGCTTTGGTTTGTCGTTACCCCACAATTGGTCACTATTTCGATGTTAGCAAACTGACCAACATGCACGAAGTCTTCGCGGCACAAACCGCAAAGTTTCTTCAAGTAGTAGTAATAAGATGGGTATGCTTACGTCTCAGGAAGCGCAGTCATGCTACCGACTGCATCGCCTGTCGTCGTCGGAAACGCAGTCGGAAACAGAGTCGGCATATTGAACTTGTTGCGGGGCGAGATCGAGCCGATAGGAAAGACCAGCTGGGCATTTATAGCAGTAAATAGTGCCATCAAGCCGATCACCATAGGTGACGTGGCATTTGTGATCTTCATACTGGTTTTGATTTCTTCGAAAGGTTCGAGCTGGCGGGTTGTAGGGATCGTAGAAGGGAGGTAGGTTGAGAGCGTTATATATCGAGAAGTGCGATCCGCACAGCCACAGTTTGTTGATCTGTTCCATGGATCGCATCAGAATCGTCAGGTTGAGATTTGATACCGTATTGGACCGTTGGCTCTGCACCTATCCTAGAAGACGCAATGTAATTACAAATACGGCCTAAACACCTTGGACGAGAAGGTTAGCGGTACTGCCCACAAAGTCCTTCGCTACCACAATCCCACAGTCCACACGCCTTCTTCTCACCCCGGTTCTCGCCTCTCCAGCCTGGCTACAGTGTTTGCCCAGAGTGCGCCACAACAGTGCCCTGACGCAAGTGAACGCGGTATATCAAGCTCTTGAAACCTTGTCTGCGGTGACAGAGACCTGAGCCAATAACGTACCTCCGAACCACAACGTCGTTTTCAAAAATTCGGTTCCGCACAGAAACACCTGACTGATACCTCATCCACTCCCTCGCCATCCTCCTTGCGTTCCCCCTACTCCACCCCTTCATCCCCCGTCCAAGCCTCCCAAAGCCCCCAACCCGTCCAAACAACTCCAAGGCTCACCCCAATAAGCAACCCCTCAAAGCGCGCACCAAGAACCAGGCAGCGCGTCCAAAAAACAATTGTCTCCGTGACCGAGGTGAGCGTGAACGCCATGGCGGTGCAGAGGATGATGTAGAATTGTATGAAGTTGTACATGTCGAAAAGTAGAGCGAGGGGTTGCGTTCGTATTGACGTTGACGTACAAGGAGTGTGTGGAGCGTACATCGTGGCGTTGCAGGTGCTGGCTCTCGCACTTGGGAGTAGATTGTGGAAAGCTTGAAGGGTTTGCGCTTCGTTGATCGTTCGATACAATTCGTATCGATCCGGAAGTAAAAGAGCGACTACTTTTCCGCGTCGAGGAGAGTGTTTGAACGTACGAGTCACTAGGATCACAGATTTATATCTCGAGGTGTTTGACGTAAGCGAAGGAGGAAAGGTCGGTCACTTCGACTTTTCTTTCACTCGGGTATGCTGAATTCCTCTTGATCAGCAAGTGAGTGACTGGCCTTTCACTTCACTACGCCGTTCGTATACATACATTAGATATGATCCTCTGTAGTTTCATATTGAAAGCCGTTGGGTTCTGCGGATGGCAAGATTGAGTGGATGGACGGAGGATAGTGGAGGTTGTTTGGAAGTGTTGAATTACCTACTCGAGAAATACTTGGTAGAAAGTGTGAAATGGTCTCGAATCAACCCCTCCACAGCTTCAGTCAACTCTGGTTCACCGTTCTAGTAGTACACGCGCCCAACGAGGTTTTCTCGGTCAGATTCGTAAGCATCAGGTGCATCAATTATGCCCGCTCAACGGATTCTTGCACGGTGTCCATCTTCTCTGCATCATCAGATACATTCTCTTCTGATGCCTTTACTTCTGGTGCATCTCCATTCTGTGTCTGCTCGAGGTGCTCCTGACCTTCTTTCGCGGCCGCCTTTGCGAGCTGCTGAGCCGCCACCGAGGGCGGGACCCCGTCTTGTACTATCGCTGCTTCTGTGACCTGCTTAACAGCCTCTGACAGCGGGACCCCAGCTTGTACTACGGTTGTTTCTGCAACCTGGTCTGCCGAGTGCTCAGCCGCTAGGGTAGCGAAAATCTCATCGAATTCGTCCTCGTCATCAAGGGCTACGGAGACGGGCTTCGCGTCGGCCCCGGGCTGCTTCTTCGGCTGCATACGGTAGTGTGCCCTCGTCGGCGTGTTGAGCGTCTCAGAGAACTCGCGTGCGTTTCGTAGATCAGGTGTGCTATACCGTGAGCCTCGCACGGCTAATGCATCAGCTGCAACGTTTCCTGGATCATTCGCGTGACCTTTGATCCACTGAAACTTTGTCTTGGCCCTGCTCATGTCGCGTTCCCGGATTCTCGCGATAATGGGCTCAATAAGATCTCTATTTTCGACATCCTTGCCCGATGAGTTCTTCCAGCCTCTCTCCACCCACTTTGGGAACCACTCGGTCAGACACTTGATGGAGTAATTTGAGTCTGTGACGATTCGGGCCTCGCGGTCGATGGCAATATGGTCTAGAGCTCGGGCGATAGCTGTTAGCTCGGCGCGTTGGTTCGTTTGTCTGTTTCCACGCAAGGCTTCGGATACATTCCTGCCAGATGATTAGCGTCAACTTCCCAGTCGCTATCATGTGAACTAACCTAGGATCGTTTGGGCCAAAGTAAACGCCCACGCCTCCTACGGCGCCTACTCGACCATTGCCCAGGGAGCTACCGTCGGTATACACAACAATAGGGCCGCTGATGTCCCCAGTTGGCTGCATCTTGGTTGCACTGAGTTCTTCCTCGGTCTTGGTCCTGATGTTCCCTCCCTCTGGATCAAGCTTGATGGTCCGATCAAAGCCATCCTCGGCACCTGGCGGGAGCGGGCCCCATCCTGGCTCATATTTGATGTTGCCATTCGTGAGCGCCGACACGGGCAAGGTGTGCTCCTTCTTTTGTCTCTTGGGTGTGCCCTCGGCGAGGTTGGAGGGTTTGCCTGCTGCTAGCGAAGACGATTCAGACAGGTCGCCGCGTAAGCTGATGGGAGTGCTACCCGGTCGCTTGAAGTTGTCCACAAAAGCCTGCGCCTCTGCACGAGTTGCAAAGCCTTTTTGTTTTCCACCCATGCAGCCCTTGGTTTGGGCTTGGACGGTGGCGTAATCTGTATATACGCCAGGCACATGTCCGACGGCTACTCCGTAGTACTTTGTCTTCCCCGACTTGGCCGAGGGGCTGCCGGCGCCCTTCACCATGGTTTCTGCTTCAGTGTATGTGCTAAATTTCCTATCTGTGCTCGAATCAGATCAAGTACTCCAGCACTGTACGGTGGACTTGCAGTAAGGGTTGGGAAAGCCCTCAATTTGTCGCTTCGCTTCGTCCCAGGTCTGGTATACGCCTGGTGTGCGGCCGACCTTGACAGCATAGAATGCGAGGGGTGTAGTCCTCTTGCGCTTCCCGCTGGACGTGATTGAGCTGGCTGACCTTGCATCGTCCATTTCGACCTTGCGGGCTGGGGGTGTCTCTATATGGAATTCCTGGGTGGAAAACAGGCGCCAGAGGAATTGGGCGCTGGCTGGTGAGTGGCGCTGGCAGACGTGGCAGGCGGGAAAAAGCAAAGGGCGATGGGAGGAGGAGGTGGAACTACAGTAGTGAGTTCAGTGCTGTTCTGTTTGTATGCGATCAAGCTGGGCCAGCGCTGGGGTAGAAGGATATCTTGGTGAAACGTACCACTTGAGTGTCCACAGAGGAATGTTATCCGCGCTGTAACGAACAAGTCGCTTGATGCTAAGGGTCATACAGCGCTGGCAATGGGGTGGTGGTCGTGAAGCGGGACGCTTTCACTGGTTGGCGTTTGGTGCGGAGCTACATCTCGGGGGTGCTTGGACCACACTGCAACTGTCTCCAATGCTCTGTACAGTTGGAGACATGATACAGGGCCAATGTGAGCGTGTAGCGAATATATAACTCAAGAGTGCATGGTGGGTCTGCCAATCCCGCTCAATCACTCACTACCTCGGCCCTCTGGCTGGCTTGCAGCTACTGAAACTGACGCGATACTGCGTACAGTACTACGACTGGACCACTGCCCCTCTACGTCTGACGGCACTGCTCACATAGCTGTTTCACCATTCTTGACGCTTGTATTCTTATTATCAACTACTATCCCTTCATTGATTTTCTTCACCATGTTCGAAGGCCGTCACGTCGCTGACAGATACCGGCTGCGCATGCACCGCGCGCGCTCCGTCGTCCTCACCAGCTCCGAGCTCGTCGAGATCCGCGCGGCGCAGAGAACGTTTGAGGGCGCATACATTCGCACCGCCATCGGGCAGTTCTCGTTTGCCCTCATCGTGCTCAAGATCTTCACGGCCGAGTTCTACTCGATTGGCGCCTTGTTTGCCGTCTACGGTGCTGGCATCTTGTTCATCAGTCTGTTCCGGCGACAGCAGGGTACGTCACACGATGGCACATGGCATGGGTATTGTCACTGATGGTTGCCAGGAAACAAACAGTTCTTCTCCGAGGTGGGCGAAGATGGGCTGCACCGCAAGAAGTTCCGAACGAGCGGCAACGTCGTGTCGGTCTTGACGGCACTCAGCATCTCAGCGTACATTTGCCTGCTGGTGCTCACGCTGCGGTTGGAGACATAGGCGTCTCTCAAGTAGTAGTACCCGTCGCGAGGAGCACTGCCGAGATGATGCTCTACACCAAGCCACCTACGCCGTCTTGGCCTGATTACAGGCACCACTCTGTGATTGTTTACGAGACGCGGCCATGTCGGACCTCATCTCTGGATCGCGTCGATGAAGATACGGGGAATCTGGGGAAACAGCCGTCGTGTATGCAGCTATCAAGCACACTGACGTCGCTCGACTATAACCACACTCGATGCTACAAGCTGGACAAGGGGCCAAAGTGACAACCGCCGGCAGAAGAGAGTGTGCTGCAATGGGACGTGGAAGGAGGATAGTAGAGGAATGGAGGGCACAGAGCTATTCTTGTCTCGTCGTGAGCTGCAATGGGTGGGCGTGGCGAGATGATTGGTTTCTCGGAGTCGGGCGGTGGGGTTCCTCGCTCTCAGCCTCTTAGCTGGCCAGCCTGCCTGCTGCCATCTGCCAGTGAATAGTTATTAGTTGAACGCCCTGGATCCGGTGGCGGGCTGTTGCAAGTCTGCCGCTTTGAGCAGTGCCCGTCACTCCAACGTCGGACCGGAAGGGGAACGAACAGTCATCGCAGCGTGCCCACGGATAAGATGGCCGCCATGGGCCCGCCCAGTCTGCAATTCACACCTCAACGCAGCCTGTTCCACTCGGACTATTCTTTTCCTAGAACGGCTGATTCGTACACCTTTCTTGTTGACCTTCTCACCTGTCTTCTTCTTCTTCTTCTACCTACTAGTGACGACTAGTGCTATAGGTAGCGGAGCACCTGGGACTGGTGCTTGGCATCGCGCCGCCCTTGAGAAATGAGGGCCATGCCGACGCCGCCGCCGAGAGTGACGGAGCCACCAGGAGCACCGCACCAGCACCAGCTACAGCACCAGCACCGCCGCCGATCCTCAGCATCTTCCACTCCCTACGACCCCAACAATCGCCGTTCCAGCACCCACTCCATCTACGCGCGAAACGCTCTCATGAGCAAACTCACCCTGCCCGGCCCCGAACACGCGCAGAACAAGTACCTCAGCAACACCAGCGGACCCCCACGCCCTGTCTCTGCCCAGCCTGCAGTGCCTACCTCCACCACGTCCACATCGACCACCACACCACTACAGCCCAAGAGCGTGCAGCAAATCAAAGACCTGGCCGCCCAACATGCAGACCGGAAGCCTCTCCCGCTGGTTGCCGCCCTCCAGAATCAGCATGGCCTCGCCATTGCAAAGGACGGCGTGGGCGCTGCCTTGAGTGACACGCCTCTGCCGTCACACCCAAACAGCCCGCGCGAGTAGGTCAAGCCGTCGTAGAGCGCAGCCTTGGTGACCAGTGCTGACGGACCTAGTACCATGACGCGCAACAGCTCAGCAGCCTCTACCCCGCGATTGCGCCCGACCACGCTCGACATCCCCGGCCTCACAAAGTCAAAAGTCTCGCCCGACGGCAAGATTGCGCAGCGCGATGTCGGCTCCAAGCTCGTCATTGTCATGGTCGGCCTGCCCGCGCGTGGCAAGTCGTACATCACCAAGAAGATGGCCCGCTACCTAAACTGGCTGCAGCACGACACCAAAATTTTCAACGTCGGCGAGAAGCGCAGAGGCGCCGCGAGCGTCCATGGCTTCCGCCTTTCCCAGGCCAGTCTCGAGAGAATTCCCTCGGGTGTCAGGGAGGCGCTCGAGCAGCACCAGGACTCATTACCACAACGTGCTGCGAAAATTCTTATCAACGGAGAGTCGGTCCAGGACGGTTCCCCGGACCCACTGAACCTGTCAGACCCACTTCTCGACAACAGCGCCATTGACGATGCGAGCCCACCAAGCCCACCAAGCCCACCGCGCATCGACGTCACATCGCCAAATAATGAAGACAAAACACACGAGGCCGCGGCCGAGGAAGAGTCCATGGACCAGTCTGCGAACTTCTTCGACCCCTCAAACAAGAAGGCATCCCAGATTCGCGAACAGTGTGCAATGGAAACGCTCGACAACCTGTTGGACTACATCTTGAAGGGCAGTGGGTCAGTTGGCATATTCGATGCCACCAACAGCACGCTGTCGCGGAGAAAGAAAATCATAGATCACATCCGGAATCGAGCCGGCGCGGAACTGAACGTCCTCTTCGTCGAAAGCGTGTGTCAAGACCAGAGTCTGCTTGAATCCAACATGCGCCTCAAACTCTCCGGGCCAGACTACCAAGACAAGGACCCTGTCGCTGCGCTAGCAGACTTCAAGAAGCGCGTGGCCATCTACGAGAAGAACTACGTCCCAATTGGCGACTACGAAGAAGATAACAACATGCCCTACGTCAAAATGGTCGACGTGGGCCGAAAGCTCATCTCACATCAGGTCAAGGGCTTTCTTGCCGGCCAGGCCGTCTACTACCTCCTCAACTTCAATCTCGCGCCCCGCATGATTTGGATTACACGGCACGGCGAATCCATGGACAATGTCGCTGGCAAGATTGGCGGCGACTCGGATCTCAGCGAGAACGGACAAAAGTACGCGCAAGCAATGACCCGTTTCATCGAAAAGCAACGCAAAGAATGGGCCGTCCGACAAGCCGACAAGCTGGCCAACACGCACTTCCCGCCCGTCCCAGGCGACCATACGCCACCCAACCCCTACTTCAGCCTAGAAGACGAGCAGCACAACTTCTGCGTCTGGACAAGTATGCTCAAGCGCAGTGTGCAGAGCGGCCAGTACTTTTGCGACGAGGATTTTGAAGTCAAGCAGATGCGCATGCTGGACGAGCTCAATGCGGGACAAATGGAAGGCCTCACGTACGAGGAAATCCGCACAAAATACGCAGACGAATATCTCCGCCGCCGCCGCGACAAACTCGCCTACCGCTACCCCGGCCCCGGTGGCGAAGGCTACCTCGACGTCATCAATCGCATTCGCCCTGTCATCGTGGAGCTGGAGCGCATGACGGACCATTGCCTCCTCATCACCCACCGCAGCGTGGCGCGTGTCCTGCTCGCCTACTTCCAGGGCCTGAAGCGAGAGGACGTGGCCGATCTGGATTGTCCGCTCGGCATGCTTTATCAGCTTGAGCCCAAGCCGTACGGTGTCGAATTCAAAGCGTGGCGGTACAATTCGAGAACGGACGATTTTGATCACTTGCCCGATTACAAGCTTAGACGAGCAACAACCCTGCAGGTTAATTAGGAGTGGCTGCTGGGCTAGGCTCATTAGACTTCAGCTTATGTTAACCACCGATGAGATGGCCTTGAGGAGGGGGGGCTTTGCGGTGTTTCCTTGCCCTTTTTGTTTCCGCGCCCGTAGGGTTGTGGTGTATTACTATGATGTTCTAGGGTTAGGACCTTTTTCTCAACGGCCTCCGCCTCCTCCTCTGATACAGGTTGGATGGATGAATGAATGGATGGGTGGGTGCATAGAGCGTCTGCTCTTCCTTTATGTTCACATCTCCTACTAGATTCGATGAGCATTTATCGGCGCGAATTTTTCATCGTCTCGGTTTCTCACTTTCTCTTGTTATAGGGAGGCAAAGGAAGTTGTTTTTTCAACAACCAGCACTATGCCCCACGCCTCATCTCTCGTGGGTGCGATGTGTTTTTAGAATAGGATGGGATGGGATGGGATGGGATGGGATGTAGACTAAGAAAGAATGGAAGAAGAAGCATATCTTAATTTTTCATTGCGATTGTGAGCTTGTCTAACTCTCTTCATTTACAATAATTCACGATAGGTCTTCCCAGGACGGATTTAATCTTGAAAGTAGTCTCTTGTCATCATGTTCCTCTAAGCACAGTGTGCCTTCTATCGTCTTGTAGTCTTCATCTACCTATTAAATCTAAGCTTTGGAAATATTATCCAACTCCACGCCCTCCGGCGTCCTAAAGCTACTCCGTCTCCTACTCGCGCCCGCAGCATTGCGCCTTCCCTCGTCAACTACATCTTCACTGCGCCTCTCGCCACGCTCCGCCTCATCGCTATCGTCCAGATCCGTAGCACTTTCATCCGGCCCCAGCACCTCCCCATGATTCCCGCCAACGCTTTCCATGGTGAACGGACTCGCAGTCGGCGCGTCCAAGATGCCCAGCTCCTCCGGCATAAAGAAGCGAGGCATAAGCCATGTGCGCATGGGAATATACAGGAAGATGAAGACGGGGAAACCGATGGCTGCGATGGTCTGCGTAATGGCAAAGGTAGCGCCGAAGCCGACGAGTTCCAAGCCTACAAACGCCCATACCACCCAGCGGCGCTCGATGCGCGTGAGTGGATCGCTACGTGGAGTGAGGTGTTTGTCCTTTGCCAGGAAGACGAGCTTGAGGGTGATGCCGTTGGCTTCGAGCGCTTGGATGCCCATTACGAAGAACAAGCCTGCGAGCACTGCTTGGGGAATGAGATGAAGGACGATGAGGAGAGGGCCAGTCATGGTTCCTAACGTGAGTAGGCCTTGTGCTAGGTTCGAAACACGCTGCTCGACGACGTGGTCGACGACGCGCTTGGCATGTCCCTTGTTTGCTTCGTCGTCAGAATCAGCTATGGTGCGTGTTACGCAGAGCGAGGTGGTGTGGAAGGGTGCCTGGGGGATTAAGCCGTTTGGGAAAGGAATGCCGAGGAGTCCAGCGACACCTGTCGTCAGACCAAGGAGGAAAATATCCCAGTGGAAGCCTGCTGGTTTTTTAAGTGGGAACTCCGTGCCTTGGGCGATGAGGCTGGACACGTTATGATCAAACCAAAAGAGGATGGTGAGCAGGACTGCGAATGGGATAGCGAGGAACACATCACCAACGCTGATATCCCAGAAGTGGATGAACCAGCCTCGGTCCGTGGTAGGGAAGAAGGCCTTGGAGGTTGGAAGCTTCAAAAGCTCAACACCAGCCATCTTTCCGATATGAACAAAGCCGGTGAAGAAGATGACGGTCAAAGGCGTACCGTAGTCCTCGATGAACTTGCGAACGTGGCGCGGGAAAAGCGAGGAGTGCCCGATTATGCCGCAGATGTATGCGACCACTGTGACCAGCAATGCAATCATAATAGAGAGGTACGCCGACGCTTCGTTCACCTCCCACTGCCGAGTAAGCACCTGAATGCCCTTTTGCAGGTATATAAAAGCGACGTAGAAGCCGAAGATGTCGCAGGAAAAGCGCGTAACATATCTTAGCCCATTGCAAGAATTGGTAATGGCGAGAATCCAGTGGAATACCAACGACCATATCCCAATCCAGCACATAAAGGCAAAGTAATTCGTGCCCCGCGGCGTAATGATATCGTACACGGTATAATTGAAGACGGTAATCGGACCCGTTACGCCAACAATAACCAGGGGCTGGGCGGCCGCAAGCGAAAACACCACAGACGCCAGCACAGAAGCTAGCAGTACTTCGTTGACGCCGAAGCTCTGGTCTGTTTTGGCGAACATGTCGAGCGAGAAGGCCAGCGCGGGGAGTATGTTTGCAAAGTACATGTACACGGTCGCAGGCACGACGCGGTAATCCCATGCATCTTTCCAGTCGCTCCAGTAGAACGGCGCTCGTCTCCGTATGTCGTTGATCATGCCGCTAAACAGGCGTGTTTTCCACCATGCATTCTGCTTCTTGGACGCGGTGGAGCGTCTCGAATGCCGTGTTTCCTCGCGACTCAGCGCATCGTTGTTCGTGCTGGCATTGCGCTTCGAGGCGGCGGGGATAACGCGCGTTTTCCACGACCGGTTCGACGAGGCGGGATTGCGCATCGAGGGGCCATGGCTTTCGGTCGGTATGGTGAGTGTCTCTGGTGGTGGTGGTGGCGTCATGTTGGAGCTAAAGGCATATCCAAATATATGTACAATGTAGCTAGTAGCAAAGACAAAACGCCGCTACGCAAAACCAGTGGTTCACTCAAAAAACAGAGTAATGCATCCAGGGCGGGTCTGACGAGGCGGAGAAGCGATTCGACATGCCTGGAGACGGCTACGCCCTGCTTAAGGCCAAACTGGTGGAGAAAATATCCGACCCACTTTGACCCCGGCCTTGAGTCGGCAAAAGGATGCTGGGCAGACGGAGGCGGTGACAAGCGAAACGGACCGACCCTTATTTGCGTCATACATTGTAAAAGCGCGATCCTGGTCGTACTCAGATGACAATGTTACGTGCGCTCTGCAAGAAGTATAGATACCCGGTAGTACTCACATTAGAATCGCAGAACTACTACTCGTCGCTCTTAACAACTTTTAGGGATGCAGCAAGACGGCAATGTACTCTAGCGGAAAGAAAAAGGATTTCCAAGGCCATTCCTTCTCACAGTACAAGGATAAAAGCACGACTCCAATTTACTCATCAAGCAGGATCCATCCCCTACAATTTGTACGCGATCTTCCAGCCTGTTGTGTCTGTACCTTTCTTTGATCGACATGCTCATCACATCACATATATGATCCCGGCAATATTATGAAAATCTTACTCTGGCTTTACCAGGAAATAGTAGACCTTGAACGTCGTAAATTTGCACTTCGAGGCTGATGCAGACGCCGGTCGGTCATATATACCCTGACATTCCCCAAGTTTTCTCCCACTGCTCACCTCCAGGTGCAGTAACAAACCCTACTCTATACGCAAGATTTCCTTAGTTGAGGCTATGTATTCACCAATGGTATGTTGCCTATATACCGAGTTAGCACTGTTCTTGAGTTGTCAGAAGACAAGCAAATGTAGTCGGAAGGTGTCAGTGACAATCGAAAAGGCATACCTGAGGAGAGAAGTCGACGTAACCACCACCCCGTCCAGAATTAGAACCTCGACCTCTTCCGTTCAATTGGCCGCGACCTGAGCCTCGATACCCACCTCCACGGTAGGTATCGCTGGAGATTGGGTAGTCATACGTGGGGCCTCCTCGACCGCGTCCTCTACCGCGGCCATTACCGCGGCCATTACCGCGACTGTTGAGATCGAAAGAGTTGACCTGTGCTGGGGCCGGCTTTGGTGCATCATTTGCGGAAAGTGGTACGGGTGCACCACCGTCTCCTTCGGCTTCATGGTCGCTCCAGCCCTCTGCTTCCTCCTCTACCCTTTGTTTCGCATCGTCCATGGCAGCTGCCAATCTGATAGCCTTCTCTTCGCTTCGCATATTGTCGAGTTCGGTAGAACCACGAATGGCGGCTTCGCGAACGCAGATAGCCAACATAGCCTGAACAGTAAAGGCAGCGTCGTTGCCTGCGTTGTGGAGATGGAAACCAGGAATGTCGAATGCCAAGAGAATCTTGCCCAAGCTTGTAGGCTGCTGTTCGCGGCGCCAGACCCGGTACATGACTGAAGTGTCCAAAGCTTCGAGGATATTTTCCACCATCATCGGATCGTAACCCAGCTGTTGAAGATATTTAACGTCGCCTAACGTGTCGTGACCAAGGAAGATGATGTTGCGCTTCTCGTTGACGTCTGTATTACTCATTAGGGTCGCAATGTCCGAAACGCCGTTGGAATGATGCGCGCCGAAAGGTGGGTGAAAGCAAGCAGCAACGTGCAGCGCGGCGTCTTCCAAATTCACAAGAGTCGACTGGCCGAAGTCGAAATTATCGGGACAGCCAGTGACGAAATCGGTGTTGACCAAGTGGCGGTATTCGTTGACTCGGAAGTGACGGGCACGAATAAGATTCCTCCAGTTTGCGCCATCAATACCGGGTGCAACCCCTATCAACTCGCGGGTATCCAACGTAGCCACGCCAATCTCTGTAATCTTGTGATGAGCCCTCTCGTAAGACTCAGCATCGACGCAGACAAACACCACCGACTGATCAAAGATGAACGGAGCGGGTGACATCGGGTCGACAGCGCCTAGTGAAGGCGGTTGTGCTGTGACATCCATCATACCAGGACGTAGACCGAGATATCGCTGTGTGCGCTTGAACTGATCCGCCATAGACCTCTGTTTGCCGTGTCGATCTAGCTGCCTCTTTGCCCTCGTGGCTTTATTCTTGGCTTTCTGGATGTCGGCCAGCTCCTCCATCTGCTGCTTGAAGTCTTCCAAGGTATGGCCCTCAAGTGGAGGATGCGAAGGCTCGCCTGCAGCGCGGAACATGTCATTTGGAGTGTTTTCGACCATGTTGTCGTAATCCTCGCGCGAGTGGGAGCGCCCGAGATAACGAGGAAGACAGCGTGGATGATCTGGAAAGCAAGAGACTAGGCCTTCTTCGCGTTGCTGATTGGTGATACGAAGAGCAAGCTTAAGATGATCGTTGATCTCCTTCAACAAAGCGTACACTTGGCTCTCACGAACAAGGATGACGGGTTTGGTAGGCTTGACGTCCCAGACGTAGTATCTGCAAAAGTGAGCTGGAGTATATTTGCGCGTATGAGGAATTGAATCTTACAAGTCCCACTCGCGCTCCCAGAATTTACCGTGAGCGAAAAACCACGAGGCAATCGCTTGCATGTGATCCTTGTTGCAGAACTTGTATGGATACTTGGCTAGTGCCTGAATGGGTGTGAAGAAGTGGCCAGCGGACGTAAGGTCGCCGGGCTGGAGGTGGTTAACTGGGGGCTTAGTTGCAGCCCTGGGAAGGCCGGTAGGCAGCAGTGGCATAGGCGCCGGATTGTACGAGCTTGCGGCGTCTTTGATCCAAATGAATTTTCGTTCAGGGTTCCCCTCAGCGTCTGAGGCTGCACGTGCTTCCTTTGTAGGCGAGTTAGTGTTGTTGGGCGGAATTTGCTCGTTAGGAGACGTCTTTGACTGCTCGAGCTCCAGAGAAACGCCACCAGTGCCCTCGCTGTCGCCCACAGACGCAGAATCAGCTTCTGGCGAGACGGCGCGATCCGGCAGTGCATCCACATCTGCTTGGACGAGCTTGCGTAGACGCTCCATACGCACCGAAGAAGCCATGTGAGAGGTGATTGTAGGAAGTTTGCCCGTGAGCAGGAGGGGGGTTCGTGCATGTGTGGACAGATCAGGGAAGAGCAAACAGCAGAGGTGAGGTGAGGTAAAGGTGATGGTGACCAGTCAGGAGAGTGCCTGATACTACGAGGATATGGAAAGGATATTGGATGGGAAGATACGCTGTGGCTTTGAAAGAGCAATCCCGCGTCGAGAATGATGCCTTGTAGGTATACAGACATGGTAATGAGAGTGGTGAAATCATACCTCAGATTCCACGCCTGGACGCTTGATTACTGCTCGATTCTTGCGGCTGGAATAGGTGCACAGGACCTGCATCGCAGGTCAATTATATGTCATCATTATTGTATTGAGGAACATTACGATTACTGAAATGACGGCTGCACAGGCTGCGAAACGAGATATAGGAAGCGTGTCTCAGAGCGAGCCTGCAATGCCAGCACTCAACACTGCCAGACTGTCTTCCGTCTATCTAGCAAAGTATAGCAGGATATGCAGATACGCTACGAGAACTGGCGAACGTGAATCATTGTTTCCGAGCTGGGGAAAGGGGAGTTGGTGAAAGCAAGATGCGAGGGGGTAACAGGAGCCCCAGAGCACTCCAGCTACTGAATGATAAATTCCACGGGTCGCAGTCGACACCAAAGCAGCCTACAGTGCACGGACGCCGGATAAGCCAGGACAGCGGTTAAGCCACCTGAATATTAAAATACTGTAATTATCCTAACTTTAATATATTATAATTCTACTACTATAAACTTAATTTAAAAAGTAATTAAATATATTAAATTATATAAAGCTAGTATATTTTTTTTATACTGCAAAGTTGCAAAAAAATTTAAAGTTAATTAAATAATTTTATTGCAAAAGTACTAAAAAAAAATATACTTTTATATAAATACTAGATAATAATAGTAGTTATTTAACTTATAATAAAAGCATAAATTTATATTATATATAAAAAAATATATAAGGCAAGGCTTATTACTAATACAAAAAATAATACAGAATTTTGCAAGTTTAGTAGCAGAATAAAAAATTTTAAAATACTAAGTTTTTTAATTTTTATATTATTATAATACTAAATTTACTTTTAAATAAAGCGCTAGGATTAATTGCAACTGCTATTAAACTAATTTTTATAAAAAATATAAATTATATTTTAAATTATTATATTTAAAAATATGCAAGTATCGCATTAAAGCGCAGGATATATATAATATAAATAAAAAAAACTTTTTTATTAGTATTATAGCTTGCTTAAAATAAATTTTTTTTAAAATAATTTAGTAAGTAAAAAAGCGTACAGCAGCTATTTAAAATAATAATAAAAAATAAATAATATTTTTAGCTTGCATTTGCGGCAATAAAAATATATTATTATTAGTATTTATTTATAAAAGCAAATTAAAATTTTAATTAAACTAAATTAATAATATAAAAGCTAGGAAATATAAAATTTTTTTTACTAACTTAATTATAAGATAAATAAATAATAATTTTAGTTTAGCTTAGTTTAAATAAGTATTTAAGTATTTTACAAAAAAAAAAGCAAAATAGTAATAATAATTTTTAATTTTTAATAGCTACGGCAGCTACTTTACTATAAATTTTATAAATTTTTGCAATAGTAATAAAAATTTTTTAATTATTTTTTTTTTTTATATAACTTATAGTTTTTAGCTATTAAATATAGTACTATTTGTGCTTTTTTCTTCTAATTATTTGCAAGAACTTAACTGCTATTTTTATTAATTATAAAATTTTATTAGTATTAAAAAAAATATTTTTTTTTTTATATTTTAGGCGGCGTAGAGCTTTACAATAAAGCCTAAAATAATAAAAAAAAAATTTTAAACTATAGGCGTATTACTAATAAATGCGGAAGTTATACTAAAATACTTTAATAATTATATTTTAAAATAAAATAAAAATAAAAAAATTAAAAAATATAATAATAAAAATAATTAAAATAAATTATAAAAAATTCTAAATAATACAGTTGCAAATAAGGCAAAAGTTAAAACTAAATATTTTAAAAAGTTATTATATTTGCTATAAATCTAAAATAAGCTTTTTTATTATAAAAATAATAGTTTTTAGGCAGCGCTTAATACTAAAAAAAAATATAAAAAAAAAAGTAAAATACTTAATTTGCAGCAAAAGCAGGAGTACTATAATAGTACTATTTTTTAAAATTTTTAAAAAATTTAAAAAGCGCGCGCCTGCAAAATAGTTAAATAATATAAAATTAAATAAAAAAAATTTTAAAAAAATAAAATAAGAAAGCTAAAAGCCGCAGTAATATTATATAAAAAAATAATAATAAAAAAAGCAAAGGCGTTGCAATAACTTGCTAAAAAAAAGTATAAAAAAAAA